AGCCTGCTGCCCACTGACTATGGGCCATAGAAAAGGCTGGTAAAAAGACTTGATTTGTGGGATTTGTTTGCACTGTTCGTAAACCGAACACACTCACGAACTGCGGACCACCTCTGTAACCTCTCGACGCTTCAATTATCGTGTGTTCCAATTGTGTGGCTGGGTGGCCGCTGTTCGTATGCACAAACCTGCGGGAACTGGGTTGGTGGCCATTTTGTTCACACAGCGGTGTTTGGACGTCGATCGCATGGAACTAAAAATGGACACGGAAACTCCCAAACACCGCTGAACTTTGACAAACGCCTGCTTCCTTCCCACACATGTCAGGAGAGCGCTGTTCTGTAGGTTTGTTCATATGAACCATACGAACAAGCCAGAGTGTGCGTTCGGTATTAATTCTGTATGGAACTCCCGAAGTTGAACGGCAAAAGCACAAAACACCCTGGGACTGTTTTGGGCATAGGACCATGTATGCGGCTGGTCAAAACTTTACCTCTGTGGCGTTTTGGCTGTATTCGTGGGATCTGAGAACTTTTCAGATATGTTGGGCCCTCATAACCAGGCATGTATAAACTGTGGGGGTTCCTAGGTGGGAAATATGTGTATTTGTGTTTTCTATAATTTGTCATTTTATGCTTCGTCATGGTGACATGGCATTTTGGGGACATGAGTATCTTTATGCGAGTGTCATGAGCATTTTTCCTGTGTCCCTGTATTGTATAAAAGCAGGTCTGGATTAAACAGATCATTTTACCCCTTCATAAAGTCTAGGCTCATGTTTGGGGGATTGGGAGCTATATTCACACTTATAATCACTACTGCGCTTCGGACTTGGAAATTCTTCACGGATGTACTCAGCTGGGATCTGTTACATAGAGCATCTTCAAAGTTTGATTGAAGAGAGGTCTACCATTAATGTCCTCATGAAGACCTTCCAAAAGAGGTAGACTAGAAGTTATTTAGATTTTTTGGGGGGATAAGGCATGCCTCATAAATGGGCTTAGATGCCAGCCTGATCAGTTAGTTAGCACAGAGATTACACTTCTTCCCACAGTAAAGACACAGATCTTTCCATCTCCTACACGGTTTCTCTGCCTCAGACAGACAAGTTTGCCCTAACTGCATTGGTTCTCTCTTGAATTCACACTATTAGGAGTAGAAGGACCCTACTCTGCACAGGAAAATTTTGAGACTATGCAAACAAATGACCTCTTTGCATTGTCCCAGTCTTTGATGGCCTGCACTGTATAAATTAGAGTGCCTAAGTCAAATTGGAGACAAATTCTTCAAAACCAGTGGCTATATCTCAGCCAGCAACTTCATCTACGATTCTAGCCAATAACTCTTCCATGAAATTGACTACTAACATTTAGCTTAGCTTGGCTACGTATTTTCAGAACTTGAAAGTGGTGTGGCCAAGGTAAGCCTTGACTGCCGCAGTTGAACATCCAGGGGTGTCAGATACTTTGCAGAAAGTCAATTTATAGTTCAACTCTCCGTAAGAATTTTTTGCCACAAGGGATTTCCCTAAACCAATTGGTTAATGATGTACCCTCTATCTGGAGGAAATGAAGGAGTGAAACTTCCAATTTTATAGCAATTTAGTTTAGAGGGACACTATAGTAACCAGAACAACTACAGCTTATTGAATTTTTTCTGGTGAGTAGAATCATTACCTTCAGGCTTTTTGCTGTAAACACTGTCTTTTCAGAGAAAATGCAGTGTTTACATTACAGCCTAGTGATAACTTCACTGGCCACTCCTCAGATGTCTGTTAGAGATCCTTCCTGGGTCATGGCTGCCTAAAATGCATCCAAACATTCAGTGTCTCCTCCCTCTGCATGCAGACACTGAACCTTCCTCATAGAGATTCATTGATTCAATTCATCTCTATGAGGAGATGCTGATTGGCCAGGGCTGTGTTTGAATTGTGCTGGCTCTGCCCCTGATCTGACTCCTTGTCAGTCTCAGCCAATCTTATGGGGAAACAGCGGCGTACATACCGCGGTCGCAGGGCCCGACACTCCAGGGAGCCCGGCCGCCCTGCGGACCCCCGCAACCGGATACCAGCTGCCACGTTTTGCGGCCCCGGCCCGCATGGCAGCAAACCGCAGGGGCCGCATATGGAGGGGTCCATCGGGTGGCCCATGCTGTTAGGGCCACCCAATGGATATGGATTATCAGGGGGCCTGGTCATCGCTGGGCGCTTTAACAGCGCGACCGGGCCCCCTGTGATTACATCACAGAGCTGGGAGGAAGGGATTCCCCAGTCACTCCTCCCAGCTATCAGGACCCGCGCGGGAGGAAGGAGGAGGAGGAGGGAGTCAGAGTGGGAACTCTGACTCCCATCAGGCTGTGCCCCCAGAGAATAGATCTGTGGTCCTTTCCAGGACCACAGAATAGATCTGCTGGCCCAAGATCTCCAGACACTGTTGGCATGTATTGTTCCACCTGTAAGCAAAACCCATCCCGTTGGTCCTTTTATTGACACTGTCATGGGAGGTGGAGGAAGAAGTACTTTCTTACATTCCTGTGGAGGATACTTAAAGGATCACTATAGGGTCAGGAACACAAACATGTATATATATATATATATATATATATATATATATATAGACACACACATACAGAGACACAGATACATACAGAGACATACATATACAAAATGTTTCCTACTATATATATATATATATATGTGTGTCTGTATGTGTCGGTGGGTATGGGGGGAGGCCCCACGGATCAGTTTCGCACCGGGGCCCCATGGATTGTGTGTACGCCACTGTGGGGAAGCATTGTGATTGGCTCAGGTCGCCACTTCTGATGATGTCAGCAGACGGCTTGTTTTTCCTGAGGCAAACAGCATGCAGATCTACAGCTTCAGGCTTGAATACAGTAAGATTTTGCTAGGTTTATGGAGGCATGAGTGGCCCAGATGGAGGTTTTAACACTATAGGGTCAGGAATACATGTTTGTGTTCCTGACCCTATAGTGATCCTTTAAGTATCCTCCACAGGAATGTAAGAAAGTACTTCTTCCTCCTCCTCCCATGACAGTGTCAATAAAAGGACCAACGGGATGAGTTTTGCTTACAGGTGGAACAATACATGCCAACAGTGTCTGGAGATCTTGGGCCAGCAGATCTATTCTGTGGTCCTGGAAAGAGGCCAACCGCTTACTAAGAATAGCAGGATACACAATGTTATGTTTTTGTAAGGTCAGTAGCCCACAGTTAGATATCGTTCTGCAACCTAATAAAGGCAAAATGAAAGCGATAGACAGGCATATTACCGGACCTTAGAGTGGCAGGGTTTAAGGTTTAGATAGAAATAGGAAGGATCGGTGAGAATAAACCAGAACGAATGTACTAAACAAGATAAAACAGAGGTCAAATAATGGACCTGGTAAGGGAAACCAAAATACTAGCCAGGTAAAAATTAGAAACACCAACAAGGAATAAGCTTGTTCTGGCATGAAACCATGAAAGGCCACTGGTCCTAAGGGGACAGGGATTTAAATGGGACCAGCCAGTCCCTGGCATTAAAATCTTGCATCCATTCACATGTGCAATGCATCAAGAAATGCCAAGTCAAGGAAACCCCCCCCAGAAAAAAATAAAAATAGAAAAACCACAAAAGGTGCCATGTGTTGTTTCAGGAATTATACGAGCGAAATTGACTGACACTCCGCTGGATGGCTGTGAGCATAGCATAATTTGGCACAAACGCGCAACAACTTCTTCCTCTATAAAGGTTTTTAACATCAGCATTGGGCAAATCATGACTAATCAGCTTTCACCAGGTGCCATTTCAAAAATAGATAAAATATCCAACTTTGTAGGAAATCCAGTATACACAAGTCCATATCTAGATTCCTGCTCAAATGCCTTTCAGCTGCACTGAGTGAATTAAAGGTGGTCACATCTATAAAGAACAAATTGATTTGTTAATATCTGCGATTCGTTCGTCCATAGATTGACTAACTGCGATTCACTCATCGCAGCCGAAAGGCATTTGGAGGGGAGTCTACCCCGTACCCCTAAATATTACAATAGATCTCCTTAAGCTTCAGTTGACAGGTTCTTACACATAGATTATTAACAAATGTGAGAGGAGGGGGGACCAAGTAAGTTTTTTCCTCCCATATATTTTTACCGGACAGCAATCCCATGCTGGTCGATGTTACAGTTAGAATACGGTTTTTCCATTTTGAAAATCATTATAAAATCTTATATTGCTGGTACCTGGCTCCGTCTAGATTGCACAACATGAACAATATGTATTCTGACCAGTGTTGGAGAGACTGTTGGGGAGTGGGCAATATTGCCCATATCTGGTGGTTCTGCCCCAAGTTAACTAATTATTGGAAAATGATTTATGATCTAATTATTAAAGTCAACAGAACCATTAACTTCGGAACTAGCCTTATTTAAAAAACTCCCGGAGTCCGTTAATAGTTCAGATAAAATAATCATAGGCCACATTCTGATCGCTGCTACATCCTGTTTACCTAGACATTGGAAGTCCCAAAATGTGCTAGAAAACAAGGCACACGAATTATCAAATAGAGCCAATATGCATGGTTTCCCAATATTAAAATATAATTGGGATAAATGGGAAGAAAAAAATCAAAACAGTTTATGGTCTTTGCTATATTTATTGTTAAAGTGCATTGATGTACAAATTTCTTGCCATATACATTGTTATGTTTTTTTCAGTGATGGATGGATACCCCTTCCCATTTCCAAGTTACCCTTCCTTTCCTACCCCTCATACAATGTTTGTATTATTATCAATTGTTATACAAAATTTTCAAACTTTAATAAAAATTATTTGAAAAGAATACGTTTTTTCTTTTGAAACCTAACCCATGACAGTACTGTAGATCACATCTCAGGCATATCCTAGGGCCCATGTCATTAGCATAGACTTGCTTGTGTTGTAGAATCGCCCTGATGGGAGGAATTAACAGCTCGGTGTAGGGTTGCACAGTTATCTCAGTCAAGCTGTTGTTCAAGGCTCGGACACACTCAACTTGAACATGGAAAGCTGGGGACAGAACCTCGTCTGGCTACAGATTCTGGTAAGAGGATACGATGATTTTTTTTTTTTACTGTTCTCAAACCCAAAAACTGTCCATCTCTCCTTATCTAAGGAGTAGTCATTACATGGACTTGTGTTTAGACTTCCAAGTTCAAAAGTAAACTGCACTTTGTGGGAAATCTGTTAGTTTTCCTCCACTGAAGCATGAAGACTGTCAGTGATGTTTCACTAAAGGGTGAAGTTCACATTATTAGAAGGGGGCATCCATCTGTAATTGGGGGTTGCACCTCAGTACAGTTGGTTGGTGCCATACAGAGGACTTGCGTCCATTGCAGGTGATTCGTTTATTGTGATGGGATCATTTGAAGCGAGGGAGAGTGTGGGGTAGTTTGTATTTATGAGATACAGAATGAAAGAAGGTTATAAATTAACCCATTATAAACAAAGAGTTTGTTTACCCTGAAGTTTATGCAGGAGAAGAATAAATATATTCCTCAGCAGGACAGTGAATTGCAGACAGTTAATAAAAGAATTCCACATTTTAGGAGGGTTTTCTAAACTGGTTATTTGGAACCAAATATTTGCAATTTAGTTACCTGTTCAACAAATAAACCCAGTGTTCACATTGAGAGTGTGCAGCTTAAATGACATAACTGTGTGCTATACTAAAATTGGTATCATACGAGCAGCACATTTTAAGAATTTGTTTCTAACCCAGAATCCTCCTAAATGACAACTTGTAATATTAAACCAATGCTCTAAAACCACAAAGAATGTAAAAGGTGGAATCTGTTTAGCGGGCATTATACTAGTATGTAAAGAATCTCAGATTGTTCCATAATTGCTTGAGTAGAATACAAATTAGTCATCAATCAAATGAGGCTCTTACTATAAACACAGTAAAGTGGACAATCTCAGAGCAGAAATGTAGGTCCCATTAGGAGTGTGTACAGGGGGTACAGTGTCAGGACTTGGTAATTCAGGACTTGGTAATGGGCCGGAGTGGGCAGAGACAGGGGCTGGATCGGGGGGGGGGGAGAAGGGGGGGCAGCGCTTCCATGAGGTGGTACAGGGCACACCGATCCCGGGGGCGGAAAGGCTGGAGGAAAGCGCATAGCGCCGATCACTATGTACCATGGCAGATCGGTCACATCTGTTCGGCACCGTGTCTGGCTCTTGGCAGAGGCTGTCTGGAGGGGGCGAAGATATGAACACGTCGTATTCCCGCTCCATGTGTACCACACAGCACGGCTGGCGGGACAGTGCATTAGTGGTGGGGCTGGGCAATTGGGACACCAGAGCCAGGCAGCATGCTCAGGACTGAGTATGTATATAGTGGTCACTGTATGACAGTTTACCTGTATGTTTAGATCGAGTGTGCGCCTGTATCAGTGCCTGTCTGAGAGTGAAAGACATACAAAGTGGTTGGGGAGATAGCACCGTACGGAAGGTGCTAAGACACTGAAGGGGGTCAGACATTCAAAAGAGGGGATAAGCAGAAGATAAAGGGGGTTACAGGACATGCAGGAACAAACTTTTTTATGCGGCAGGAAAACGCGTCACCAGTGTAGCAGGGCCGGATTAACATAGGGGCTGATAGAGATGCAGCTCCAGGCCCATGAATAGTTTTTTGTTTTTTTTAAACCACTACTCTTAGCGTTTCCACCTGGCTGGTATTTTACTGTCACAACCAGTATTTGAGGCTGACTGGTCGGTGACAATATTGCAGTAATAACGGGAATACAAATGCTGGTATTTTTCTCAGTATAAATAGAGATTACGATGCAATGGCCAGTAGGGGTCGCTGTGAGTCGAGAGAGGCAGGGATTGGAAGTTCCAGCGTATCCCTCCATGCCTATCTCTACTCACTGATCCGCGGGGGAGGAGCTACAGAGAGTCCAGACAGCAACTCCCAGCCTGCAGAGACAGCCTTCAGCTCAGAGAAGTAAGGGATGGGGGAAAGGCTGCAAGGAGACATGGGGGCACTGATTCGTGCCAGTGGCCCACCCTTTTACTGCGCCCATTGACTTCCTGCTTCTTTGGACACTGCTGTTAGGGGGTATGGATTTACTTGAAAGATGAAAACATAAATTAGAGAGATATTAGCATAGGGTATGTGTTTTCTCATAGCTGCTGTTTTCTTTCCCTCCAGCACCATCTCCATCAAATACATGACGCTTGGGAGTGTTTGAGTTTTTGGTCGATAATTACTTTGTAATTAGGCCCATCATAATTGTCAGCACCAGGCCCACTGGGCCCTTATCTGGCCCTGCAGTGTAGTCAGAAAATCCTTGCTTTGGCCCTGAATTTGGGACAGGTAGTGTATGCAGACTGGCCCCAGTTTGGTACAAATCTTTACCAAGTTTACGGCCATAAATGTTAGAATGTCTGGCAGGACAGTAACAACTGGGGGTTTAGTCAATTGGCCCTAAATATATTCAGATAATACTGACACAGGGTCAGGATATGGTTTGTCTTAGAGATATTCCTCCATTTACAACCATGAAAGAAAAAGTCAATTGGGTGAAATCGACAAATAGTGGGAGGAAGGAAAAAATACAAATAGTACTTCTTGCAGCTTTGAAATGGGGATGGGACGAAGGGAAGAAAATCTGAATTCTTCAGAATTATGACATTTAAAGTTATAAGAATGCTAAACAAGTGGCCACTGTTCACGTTGTCAGCCCCTCTGGAAATCTATAGTGATTCTGTTATTTTACATCCCCAGGTTGTTCGATAGATAGATCGATGTCAGGAAACTATAAGGCTGTTCAGCAAGAGATGGGCCAGCACATACCAAAGGCACAGGGACGGATAGACTGGTGTATTAACAGACCTCTGATTGGCCGGGTTTATATGATATAATAAGAGTATAACGCAAAACACAAGGCGGGTCATGGATACCAAAATACGGGCGGGGGAGGATTAATTGCATTTTACTACTTAAAAGCCTTGTAAAGTAGGTAGCTTTGTGTGTGTGTGTGTGTGTGTGTGTGTGTGCGCGCGCGCGCACGTGCGCTTTTAATTAAACTGCATTTAGGAACCAGAGTACTAGAATCAGAACCAAAGAAAACCCAACAGAAACAATACACTTAAAAATGGACACTATAGTCACCAGAACAACTACAGCTTATTGAATTTGTTCTGGTCAGTAGAATCACTACCTTCAGGCATTTTCAGAGAAAATGCAGTGTTTACAATACAGCCTAGTGATAACTTCACTGGCCACTCCTCAGATAGCTGCTAGAGGTGCTTCCTGGGGCAGTGCTGCACAGTGTGACTGACATTCAGTGTCTCCACCCTATGCATGCAGGCACTGAACTTTCCTCATAGAGATACATAGAATCAATGCATCTCTATGAGGAGCTGCTGATTGGCCAGGGCTGTGTTTGGCTTGTGCTAGCTCTGCCTCCTTGACATGTTCAGACAATCCCATGGTTTCCTATGTGAATGCATCATGATTGGCTCATATAATCCTTTCTGATGATGTCAGCCAAGCAGGCAAATCAGGGGCAGAGCTAGCAGCTGCAGACTTGAACAGAAGTAAGATTTTACTATATTTAACCCCTTGAGGACCAAACTTCTGGAATAAAAGGCAATCATGACAGGTCACATGTTATGTGTCCTTAAGGGGTTATAGGGGGGCCCTAAGGTGGGGCCAGATGGTGGTTTTAACACTATAAGGTCAGGAATATAGGTTTGTGTTCCTGACCATATAATGTTCCTTTACGGGTTTGCAAATGAGAAGAGGTCACTGGCACAAAAGCTAGAGGGGTTTAAAAAAATGACCAGGCCTCTGACGTATTGCCACTGCACAAACAGTGGCATAGACTAATAAGCACAAAAGTTCACGTAATTTTAGGATTGATAGAGACCAAAATATTGTCAGTGAGAACTAGTGAAAATGATGCTGCACCTGGATGGAATCGCTTTAGGAGTCATTGACTCCGGTGCTTGGTTGCCTTAAATTGGAGAGTGGTCTCTAAAGGATGAGAGCACCTGGAGGGCGGAGGATGGGGTAAATTGACATAGAACAGTCAGAATTATTAAGAGCTTGACTTTTTCAGTTTGACTTAGTCTGTGTGAGGGGACTATGGCAGAAAATGTGCAGCTCTCGTTTTACTGAACATTGGGATTTATTTGCTAAACACAAATTGTATTGCTGAATTGAAAACCAAAATGCTCAATGCACAACTTCTCCCGTTCAACTTTCATGGCCTAAATTTGGTAAAATTGAATTTTTAGCAAGTAATCCTAGATTTGTAAACATGGATCATGGAGGCTTTAGGAGAATTAAAACCACTCCCCCCAAACCACAAATTTGAGTGAATTACTGCAATTTCACTCAACATTCTTCCGGGTAAACTGAAACACAGAAGAGCATTAATATCACGGAGGGGCATGCATTTAGTTATTTTATCCCAGGGGAGGGCTAACTACATTTGGCCTTGTGGAAAAAGCATAGTTGCCAACTGTCCTGTTTTTGCTGGGACAGTACCGGCAAGCTGGAGTCTGTCCTAGGCAATTCACTCTCCCGAGACAGTCCCGGCAACTTGCAGGACCATGTGCTTTTACTATTTTCCATGGGACTGTAACTGCCCGTTACAGTCCAAGGGAATGCAGGACAGAGGTACTCACTGTTGGGAGATGTTGGGGGCTGTGGAGAGGTGCTGGAGTGGCTGCATTGGGGCTGCTGGGGAGCCGGAGGGAGCACTGACAGTCCTTTCCTGAATTCCCAGCAGCTTCCCCGGTGCTCCTGCTCCGCTTCACGCCAACAAGCTCTGCCTCCACCGTTAAGCAGCAGACCTTGCTGCAGTTGGAAGAGGCCAGAAATGTCTCTGACCTCCCAGCAACAGCCTCCAGTTAGTCCAAGGTAAGCTTCATATACTCAGGAGTGTGTGTGTGTCAGTGCCCAGGCCGACAGCTTTCTTGCTGTGGGCCCTCTTGGGCCGGTGAGGAGATCAAAGATCTCCTCATTGGCTCAAAGGCCCTTCATTAGTGCCAGGGAGGGCTGGAGGACCTGGGAGGCAGAGCACTCCTCCCGCAAGCGTGCTGTGCGGAGCGTTGCCGCATGTTACCATGACAATGCTCCGACACTGCATTCTGCACGTGGGAGGAGTGAAGAAAGCCTGCAGCCAGAGGAGTTGCAGGCTATAGACAACTCACCACCACGGTACAGCACCCTACCCACACACTGCACCCCTCACTGCAGTCTGTGTGTGTGCACTCAGAATGTATTCAGCAGTCTGTGTGCATTCAGCAGTAGGTGTATGTATTCAGTGTACGGTGTGTATGTTTGTGCTGTGTACTCTGCAGTCTTGTGCGTGTGTTCAGCAGTCAGTGTAATGTATTGCATTTGTTGGAAGTACCAATATATATAAGTTTGGGGTTGTTTTTTTTTTTTTAATCAATCATTTTTATTCCTATGAGTTGTTGTGTAGGTAGGGCCACTTGCACGGCTTTGCCAGGGGACCCATAACGCTATTAAGATGGCACTGCTTGTGTGTGTCAATGAGCTTGTCTGTAGTGAGCTTCTGTGTCAGTAAGTTTGTCTGTGAGCCTTGTGTATCTATAAAAATTAGTTTGTCAGTAGTAAGCTTGTGTGTGAGTCAGTTTTGTCTGTCAGTGAGCCTATTTATTTGTATCTGAGTTTGTGTTTTGTGTCAGTGAACTTGTCGGTCTTTGAGCCTGTGTACTTACTGTATCAGTAAAGAGAACTGAGATGGCAATTTTAAACTTAATGCTGAAATAGTGCAGCTGAATTTGTCCAACTCCGCTACTTTGGCCTTAAGTTTAAAATTACCATCTCAATTCCCTGTAATTCTGTGGGTTGGACATCGTGGGCAGAGCTTTGGGTGTTAGTACGTTAGTAATTGATAGCTGTGCTGCAAAGTGTCCCTGGAATTTAAAAAATGTTGGCAACTATGCTTCAGAAAAGCAGAAAGTAGTCCCTTTGTTAACGTTACATTTGATGACTTATGCCAATATTACAGTATTTTATTCTGCTGTAGGCTTTGGGCCTCAATCCTCTGTATTAGTGCCCTAAGCAGGCCAAATGCCAACCCTCCCTTGTTTGCCCCGGTCAGTACAGGACCGCTCAAACTTGCTCTGGGAGCCTGGAAGGTATGTGGCATTCACTGGGGGTCAGTCAACCTCGTATTGTTGGTTCTTGTTAGAGTCTGATGGAATAAACCCTCGAGAGCAATTCAGAGGAACTCTGCAATGTCAGAAATATAGTCTGTGCACTCTGCCTCGGGAACCCAGGGTGAGACTGTTAAAGTTGAAAACTACACACCTAAATTAAACATAGTTATGTCCTGACAGGTTAGAATTTCCAAAATGACAGGCTTCTACAAAGAATACTTTTTTTTTCCCTCCTATAAAAAAATAAATAAATAAATAAATAAATAAAAAAACCACACCACACACAGAAAAAAACACTACTTTAAATCATTTATATTATACAAATACAATTAGCCCCTTTTAAGGCATCTAAGGAATTTTGTAGTACAACCTCTGTAGGAGGTTAGGGTTTTCTGCTGTAGGTGAAATCTCCTTTCTACAAGTCTCAGTGAGGCTGAAGATGTGGCTGGGAAGGTTTACTAGCAGTGTGGAATATAACACATTCAGATGGGTGGAAATAAAAAATAAAAATGAATCGGGGTGAGGGAGGGGGGCTTTACAGATCAGATGAAACAAAAGAAGAAACTAGTTTTCCTTGCACTATAAGGTCATTAGGTCCCCCCCTCCCCGCCCTCAGGGCCTCCCTCCTGCTGGGCTAAAGGGGTTAAAACCCCTTCAGCCACTTACCTTTCTCCAGTGCTGGGCTCCCTCAGCGCTGGGGAACTCTCCTCCTCCTGCCGATGTCAGCACCGAATGTGCATGTGCGGCAAGAGCTACGTGCATTCAAACCGCCCATAGGAAAGCATTACGCAATGCTTTCCTATGGACGTCAGCGTCTTCTCACAGTAAGAAGCGCCTCTAGCGGCTGTCAGTGAGACAGCTACTAGAGGCTGGATTAACCCTCAGTGTAAACATAGCAGTTGATCTGAAATGGCTATGTTTTCAGCTGCAGGGTTAAAACTAGAGGGACTTGGCACCCAGACCACTTCATTGAGCTGAAGAGGTCTGAGTGCCTATAGTGGTCTAATTAATTTGCAATATCAAAACTATCTGTAAAGAATATTGAACAGCCAATATTTTAGTTAGAAAACACGTGAATCAAACAGTAAAGACGATTTTGATTTAACCCAGTTTGGGTTTGAAAAATCCAATAGAATCTGCTTTGCTGGTTTCTGGGGTTAGCACACCACAGTCGGATAGGTCTTGTGTGATAATCAAGTGGGGCTTACTCTCCACATTTAAACGGATAGATTTACCACAACAAAGACCAGATTCGCCAGGAGAAGACTCCGATAAAAGCATTCCCATATTATTCAGATTACACGCGGTAAACTCAGTGGATCAGAATGTAAGCTCCTGTAATACTTCACAGGGAGACATCATGTAAAATGTATAAAGTCTGCGTTTTATTGAGCAAATCCCAATTCACACACTTCACCCAGCAGCTGAAACGATTTACAATGGAAAGACTACAGGCATTTCAACACCAGGTTATTTACTAAACTGCACATTGTAATCAATTCAAAAAGGAATGTCAACATTTAAGTCAAAGAGGACTTCTTGGCGGGTGGGGAAGGGAAGGGGGTCTTTGTGATTTATTTCTCAAGACAGTTACATACATGTAATACAGAAAGGTACACACAGCATAGAGCCTGCGTAAAAATATATACACACACACGATAGAGAATGTATGCTATATACACGATCGTGTGTTACTGTATATAGCATACATGCCCTATCCTGTATCTTACTGTATATAGCATACACACTCTCCTGTTTGTTACATGCATGCTATATACAGTAACACAGAGGATAGAGCAAGTATGCTATATACAGTGTAACACATTGTTTATACACTGTAGGGTACATGATGCAGTCTGTACGTGAGAGTTCAGCTAAGTAGTACACATCATTACGCATGCAGTGGCGTACATACCAGGGGGCCCGGCCACCCCTGCGACCCGGTATGTACCCACAGGGCCAGCCTCTTCTCCTGGGGGGCCCAGGAGCCGACCACCCCAGGGCCCCCCTGAGGCTGGCCCTGCTGACCCCAGCTGGCGGGTGGCCGGTCGGGCAGGAAGGCGGGCGCGTGAAGGAGCACTCAGTGCTTCCTCTTAAGCTCCCTCGCGCACCTCACTGATACCGGAGCCGGAAGATGACGTCATCTTCCGGCTCCGGCATCCCTACGCGGCGCGCGAGGGAGCTGAAGAGGAAGCACTGAGTGCTCCTTCACGCGCCCGCCTTCCTGCCCGACCGGCCACCCGCCAGCTGGGGTCAGCAGCACCACTGGACCCCAGGGAATCCCCCCCAGCACTCCAAAAGGTAAGGAGGCTGGGGGGATTACATTTTTTTTTTTTTAAAAACAAACATGTGAGAGTGAGTGTTAGAGTGTGTGTGTCTGCTAGTGAGTGTTAGAGTGTGTGTGTCTGCTAGTGAGTGTTAGAGTGAGTGTTAGAGTGAGTGTTAGAGTGAGTGTGTTAGAGTGAGTGAGTGTGTGTTTAGAGTGAGTGTGTTAGAGTGAGTGTTAGAGTGAGTGTTAGAGTGAGTGTTAGAGTGAGTGTTAGAGTGAGTGTTAGAGTGAGTGTTAGAGTGAGTGTTAGAGTGAGTGTTAGAGTGAGTGTGTTAGAGTGTGAGTGTTAGAGTGAGTGTGTTAGAGAGTGAGTGTTAGAGTGAGTGTGTTAGAGAGTGAGTGTTAGAGTGAGTGTTAGAGTGAGTGTGTTAGAGTGTGTGTCTGCTAGTGAGTGTTAGAGTGAGTGTTAGAGTGAGTGTGAGTGTTAGAGTGAGTGTGAGAGTGAGTGTTAGTGTGTGTGTCTGTTAGTGAGTGTTAGTGTGAGTGTTATTGTGTTAGAGTGAGTGTGAGTGTGTGTGTCTGTTAGTGAGTGTCAGTGAGTGTGTTACTGTGTGTGTCTTACTGAGTGTGTGTGTGTTAGTGAGTATGTTTGATGTCTGTTAGTGAGTTTGTGTTTGTCAATGAGAGTGTATGTTTTGTAAGTGAGTGTGTATGTATGTCTGTCGCTGAGTGTGTCTCTGTCAGTAAATGTGTGTGTCTGTTAGCTAGTGTGTATGCGTCTGTAAGTGAGAGTGTGTGTCTTCAACACTTACCTTTCTTCAGCGCCGGACTCCCTTTGCGCTGGGGATCCCTCAGCCTCTCAGCTCCGAATGAGACCGCGCACGCATTCAAACCGCCCATAGGAAAGCATTACTCAATGCTTTCCTATGGACGTTCAGTGTGCTACTCTAGCGGCTGTCAGTGAAACAGCCACTAGAGGCTGGATTAACCCTCAGTGAAACATAGCAGTTTCTCTGAAACTGCTGTGTTTTCAGCTGCAGGGTTAAAACTAGAGGGACCTGACACCCAGACAACTTCATTGAGCTGATGTGATCTGGGTGTCTGTAGTGGTCCTTTAAGTGTGTGTGCATCTGCATGCACTGGCGTACATACCGCAGTCGCAGGGGTCGCAACCCTGCGACCAGGTGCCCACCACCATGTGTTCAATTTTTGCACCGGGGCCCCATGGGTCATGTGTACGCCACTGTACGCATGTCTAGGTGTGCCGGTCGCTCTGTTATTCTGTGCACAGTTCAGTAGCTGAATATTGAGATTTTGTCCCATCCTGCACTGACCTTGGCCTGTAACCTTGACAGAGAGTGACAGGACCGATATCAGACCAGTAACCTCACACCTGCTGTCTATCAGCAATACTTGTCGGACCGGTTGTACTTGTCCTTCAAACTAGCCCCAGGCACAACCTGAAAAATATTAAATTAAGGACAGAGCACACTTCTCTACAATACAATATTCTCAGAGTTTCACTGAGCGGACAGGATTAAATAGAATAACAAACCTCAACACATGAGTCACAGGGTTTACACGGCACATACACGGGGCAAAAAAAAACCAAAAAAACTATTTAATTAAAAGGGGGATCACCAATGTGAGGGGGGCAGCCTTTACAGCCCTCTTAAGTTACCATTTCTTTTGCAGGTTCTGTGCACGGATCTATCCCTGCAGAATGAGACAGTGGCCATCGCTCAGACGGAACCCAAACTCAGCGGAAAGGTACATAGCTAGCTGCGCAAGTCATATACAAAATAAATTGTTTAATAAACTATACCCACAATCTGTGACTACATTAAAGATTTATTCAGAGGCACCTGTAAGATATCCCAACACGCATTACTTCAGGTGAAGAGAAAGACCGTGTTTAGAAAAGTCGCTGATAACCAGCATGATCAGTTATACACAATGTGTGTGCACGCTCACCAATAATAAATGACTCCTCTGACATTGGTTCTTAGATTAACAGGAATCAAAATGATATTCCTTCATCAGCTCATTGACCCATTCCCTTACTGTAATGTCAGCTCAGCGACCCATATACAATATTAGATTCCTATAGAATCACTTCATTAGACTTGTCTGGATGTCAGTGATCTCTGAGCTGGGAGAGACTGTACAGTAAATAGTTCATGGTGGGCGACATGATCAATACATTGTATCTACTCCAGTAATGATACATTACCTTATGGGAAAGGAAAAAAAAGTGACAATGTGACAAAGTGGACTGTGATGGCATTTAGTAGGTCTGTTTTATAGGCTAAGGGTATGTGAAGAAATGACTCCGTTCATCAGGATTTCTACCTTTGTTGCACAAGTTAATTCACCCAATTCAGCTGGAATTCGGCATATAGCTATAATTTCTACCCTTCGGATGGATTCAGGCGAATTCCCCGTGTAAACTCTAGGTGGCCGCCATTTCGGCACTTTACACGTGGTCGCGGCCATTTTACGTGCGAACAGCGGTGTTTGCCCGTCAAACGCGTGGAACTAAAATCGGATACGCAAACAGGCGAACACCGCTGAGACCTCCATACATCCAGAACTTCGCACGGAAAAAACCGAATCACCGGCCGTTCGGTAGTTACATGCAACTTCGTATGGGGATTTCAACGACCACGAAGATGCGAACGGATGGCAGGACTTTCGTCTTTTTTATTCGCCTAAACGGAGACCGACCGCAGGGCCAAAACTTATGGAACTATTTTCGGCTAGATGATCCGTGCGGTCGGTCAAAACTTTAGTGCTCCATAACTCCCGAACCATTCATCCGAATGGACTGATTTTTTGACATATTGTCCCCACAAGTGAGCACTATCCAGCGGTGCCCAATTTAAAGGTGTACCCCCTGTTTTTGGGGTACATCCAGAACTGGGGTAAAATAGTGCACGTTTTAATGAAGTTAACTGTTTATCAGAGGGGAGGGAGGTAGGGGCTGTAACCTGTACCTGATTGGTGATTTAATGCCTCCCCCTGGGTGTGTATTTTTTGTCTGTAACCCTAATAAAAAGCAGGCTGGAGATTCCAGACCTCAGATCTACTTGTATCCTGATTCTGGACTCTGACTGTTATTTGGGAATTTGTATGCTTTACCAAGGGGATTATCTTGGGAAGCTGTTATATTTCTTATGGACTTCATTGCTTGGATCTACCCTAGACGCTGGCATTGCAGGAGGAATTATCAAAGCGGTTCAGCTATACTTGATTTCCTTACAACTGGTGGCAAGCGGAGGGATTCGAATCCCAAATGGACATTTCAAAACAAGCAAAGGAATGAATGGCTCAGCAGTACCAGCTACTTAAAAGAACCACGCTAAAGGACTTACTGGAAGCTCGAGGCAGAGTGGCAAGTAACAAAACAAAAGCCACGATAATTGCGGAGTTAATGCAGAGCGATAATACCAGTAATATAGAGATGGACCAAGAGGAAGAAACCGTGATGCAAAAGGACATCCGATGGACACTCAGTTTATTGGGACCCAATCCATCCTCAGAGGCGATACTGCAGGTCGTAGCACAAGCCAGACAAGCGCAAAAAGAGCGAGATGACCGGGACAGAGCGTCACAGGGGGATTTGCTACACCCCCCGAGAAGTATTGGGGAAATACCAAAGAAGGTAAATTATGCAGCGTTTAAATCATTTGTTGACAATGAAATGGAAATTGACAGTTACTTGCAAGACTTTGAACGTCAGTGTGCACTGGAGGGATTAGACTCCACCAAATGGGCTGCAGTCGTCAGCAGTAAATTGTCAGGTAGAGCAGCCGAGGCGCTGCGAGCAGTACCTGAGGGGGACATACATAATTATGAGAAAATAAAAGACATTTTGTTGGCCAGATATGCGGTAACTCCGGAGGCATACCGGAAAAAGTTTAGAGACCTGAGAAAGACTGGGAGAGATTCCCATACGGAATGGGCTTTTCGCCTGCAGCGGGCAGCCCGCAATTGGATGAAGGGCTGCCAGGCAACCACCCTAGAAGAAGCTTTGCAACTAGTGATACTGGAGCAATTTTTTAATCATACTGCAGAGGACATAAAAGACTGGGTAAAAGATAGGAAACCAAAAACCGTGGAGGAGGCCGCTAGGCTAGCGGACGAGTACCAGGATAACAGGAGGAAGGAGCCAGGGGCGAGCAGACCACCATTTAAGCCTCAGTACACAGCTCCAACAAACCCGGCTCCACCTAGACCTGCCATAGGTAACCCCCCACCGAACCCAGCAAACACACCTCGACCTCCTGCAGTGTGTCACTACTGCAAGCAACCAGGACATTACAAGCATCAGTGCCCTCGCTTAAACCGGGGAAGCTGGGAACGGCCAGCCCCACAACAACCCAGGGCAGCTGCTCACTGTGTGCAACAGGAACACACAGGCCCTGCCCTTAACCACGAAGAACAGTGGAGTGTATTACATGAGGTCAATCCAGTACAAGCTGGGGGGGACAACCGGGACCACCACCGCCAATGGATTACCGTCGATGGCGTGGGGGCCCGGGCGCTGAGAGACTCTGGGGCTACTTTGACTGTGGTACAGCCCCACACGGTCAGAGCACAAGCTCGCACCGGACGCACAGTCGCTGTAAGGGTGGCTGGGGGCGCTATTCACAAACTGCCCACCGCTAATATGTTTGTTGATTGGGGTTCCGGGTCTAAACAACTGGAGGTGGGGATTATGCAAGAACTGCCCGCCGAGGTTTTGTTGGGAAATGATGTGGGATGCCTAACCTCACAACTAGCCCGAGACCCCCCTGCTGAGGCCTACCCGGTTACCACCCGAGCTCAAGCCAGACTGAAAGCTCTGCTGCACTCTGAGGAGAACCAGGTAAGAGTCGAAATACCCCCTTTACCCGATCCCCCCGTACCCTTCTGGGATACCCCCCAGGGGTTTGAACAGGAACAGCGTACTGACCCCACATTAGAAGGCTATAGGAAGGCCGCGGCCGCTACCCCCGAGAACAACCCGCACGAAAAATTTGAGTGGTATAAGGGGTTGCTATATAGGGTAACCGAGGGGGTGGGACAGGGGGCTACCCAGGTCATAAAAAGACAGTTAGTTGTGCCCCGTAAATTTCGGGCTGAGTTGTTAAAACTCAGTCATGACATTCCCCTAGCAGGACATTTAGGGGTCAAAAAGACCAGAGACAGGTTAACTCAAACCTTCTTCTGGCCCAGAGCTACCCAGGACCTAAAGTACTATTGTAGGACATGTGATGTATGCCAAAGGGTAGGGAAAAGGGGAGACCTTCGGAAGGCTAAGCTTCACCCCCTACCCATCATCGAACAGCCCTTCCACCGAGTAGCGGTGGATTTAATAGGTCCCCTCAGTCGCCCCAGTCCGTCGGGCAAAAAGTTTATCCTAACGGTGGTTGACTACGCCACTAGATACCCGGAGGCAGTCGCCCTCACCAATATAGAGGCCGAGACCGTGGCAGAGGCCCTTATTCAGATATTCACCCGAGTAGGTTTCCCGCAGGAGATACTCTCCGATCGGGGGACGCAGTTCACAGCTACCCTGACGCAACAACTGTGGCAGAGCTGTGGAGTGCAACCCCTGTTCAGCGCCCCGTATCATCCCCAGACTAACGGGCTCTGTGAACGTTTCAATGGCACTCTAAAACAGATGCTAAAAACTTTTACAGAGTCCCACAAGAATTGGGAAAAATTCCTTCCCCACCTTCTGTTTGCCTACCGTGAGGTGCCCCAGGCCTCCACTGGGTTTTCCCCCTTCGAACTCCTGTACGGGAGAAAAGTTCGGGGCCCACTGGAGCTCGTACGGGAACACTGGGAGGGCAATACAGATGAGGGGGGAGTCCCTATCGTCCAGTATGTCCTGGAGTTCCGGGACCGTCTGCGGGCCCTCACCGAATCGGTTCGGGAGAACCTGCAGGCGGCCCAGGAGGACCAGAAAAAGTGGTACGATAGGAGGGCCCAGGATAGAGTGCTGGACTTAGGGCAGAAGGTACTGGCTCTGAGGCCCGTTAAAAAGGACAAGCTGCAAGCAGCCTGGCAGGGACCCTTTAAGGTAGTGGAACAGGTTAGCGAGACTACCTACATCGTGAGCAAATGCTCAGATGAAAGGCTGACCAAAGCCTTCCATGTGAACATGCTCAAACCATATTTTGAAAGGACAGAGGAGGTGGGCGCCGTGTGCGCCCCCGCCACAGAGGATAGTGAAGGGCTTCCCCTGCCTGACTTACTGGAGACCACCCCCTGTACTATTGACCAAGTAAGCTTGGGGCAAAATTTAGACCTCCTGGAGAAAGGTGAGGCTACCCATCTGCTGCAGGGATACCGAGAGATGTTTTCCGCTACCCCCGGCTATACCTCCGCTGCGGTACACCGTGTGGAAACCCAGGGAGAGACGCCCCTACGGCAACAGCCATATCGGATCCCGGAAGCAGTACGTGAGAGTATGCTCACCGAGTTAAGGGATATGTTACGGCTAGGGGTAATAGAACCCTCCCAAAGTCCTTGGGCCTCCCCGGTGGTACTAGTACCGAAGCGCGATGGCACTACGCGCTTCTGTGTAGATTACCGGAGGCTTAACGACCGTACCATAACCGATGCCTACCCCATGCCTAGAATAGATGAGCTCTTAGATCGAATGGCGGGGGGGAACTACTTGACTACCCTGGACCTGTGCAAGGGTTATTGGCAGATCCCCCTGGAGCCTGCGGCCATCCCCAAGTCGGCGTTCGTCACCCCGTTTGGGCTATACCAATTCAAGGTTATGCCCTTTGGGATGAAGAACGCCCCGGCTACGTTTCAGCGGATGGCGGATAGGCTCCTGGAGGGGTTGCAGGACTTCGCATGTGCGTATCTAGATGATATTGCCATCTATAGCCGCACATGGGGAGACCATCTGGGTCATGTGTCCAGGGTACTCGAACGAATCCACCTCGCCGGGCTCACTTTGAAACCCGACAAGTGTCACGTAGGCCTAGCCGAGGTCCAGTATCTAGGCCACCGTGTCGGCTCCGGTAGACAACGCCCAGAGCCCGCTAAGGTAGAAGCCATAGCTAACTGGCCCCAACCTCGGACCAAAACCCAGGTACTGGCTTTCTTAGGGACGGCCGGGTATTATAGGAAGTTCGTCCCAGAATATAGCGCCCTGGCCAAGCCCCTCACGGACCTTACCAAAAAGGCCCTTCCCAAACAGGTCTCCTGGACCCCAGAGTGCACGGACGCTTTCCAGAAGCTCAAAGCGGCATTGAGTGAGGCCCCTGTGTTGGCAGCACCCGATTACACTAAACAATTTCTCGTCCACACAGATGCCTCCATGTTTGGGCTGGGAGCCGTGCTAAGCCAGGTGGGGGCGGATGGCATGGAACACCCGGTGGCATACCTCAGCCGTAAACTTTTGCCCCGAGAAGTCAGCTATGCCACCGTAGAAAAAGAGTGCTTGGCCCTCGTGTGGGCCCTCAAGAAACTTCAGCCCTATCTGTATGGGCGAGCGTTTACCCTTATGACCGACCACAACCCCCTGGTATGGCTCAACCGGGTAGCTGGTGACAACCCCAGGCTACTCCGGTGGAGCCTAGCTCTCCAACCATACAATTTTACCATGCAGTACCGTCCGGGTAAACAAAATGGGAATGCGGATGGACTGTCCCGCCAGACCGAACTGGACACCTAAAAACGTACTTTCATCGGACATCCCCAAGCCAACCCGACAGGGTCTAGGCGGGTATGCCGACCTATGGACTTATAGGGGAGCAGTGTGAAGAAATGACTCCGTTCATCAGGATTTCTACCTTTGTTGCACAAGTTAATTCACCCAATTCAGCTGGAATTCGGCATATAGCTATAATTTCTACCCTTCGGATGGATTCAGGCGAATTCCCCGTGTAAACTCTAGGTGGCCGCCATTTCGGCACTTTACACGTGGTCGCGGCCATTTTACGTGCGAACAGCGGTGTTTGCCCGTCAAACGCGTGGAACTAAAATCGGATACGCAAACAGGCGAACACCGCTGAGACCTCCATACATCCAGAACTTCGCACGGAAAAAACCGAATCACCGGCCGTTCGGTAGTTACATGCAACTTCGTATGGGGATTTCAACGACCACGAAGATGCGAACGGATGGCAGGACTTTCGTCTTTTTTATTCGCCTAAACGGAGACCGACCGCAGGGCCAAAACTTATGGAACTATTTTCGGCTAGATGATCCGTGCGGTCGGTCAAAACTTTAGTGCTCCATAACTCCCGAACCATTCATCCGAATGGACTGATTTTTTGACATATTGTCCCCACAAGTGAGCACTATCCAGCGGTGCCCAATTTAAAGGTGTACCCCCTGTTTTTGGGGTACATCCAGAACTGGGGTAAAATAGTGCACGTTTTAATGAAGTTAACTGTTTATCAGAGGGGAGGGAGGTAGGGGCTGTAACCTGTACCTGATTGGTGATTTAATGCCTCCCCCTGGGTGTGTATTTTTTGTCTGTAACCCTAATAAAAAGCAGGCTGGAGATTCCAGACCTCAGATCTACTTGTATCCTGATTCTGGACTCTGACTGTTATTTGGGAATTCGTATGCTTTACCAAGGGGGTTATCTTGGGAAGCTGTTATATTTCTTATGGACTTCATTGCTTGGATCTACCCTAGACGCTGGCATTGCAGGAGGAATTATCAAAGCGGTTCAGCTATACTTGATTTCCTTACAGGGTACAACAGAGAACAGTCTGCGTAGTTTGTCTAACGCAGTCCAATATTGCTCTAGAATGTGTGTTCCCCACTGGGAGGTTCACATTTCTGTCGAATAACGGATTTCTTTCTGCATTTATGGTGGTGTCCATGCCTATTCTCGTAAGCGATAACTGTTTCGCTCATGCCAATTAATTACTAAACCTGCCAATTCCACACATCAGTTCTAAGTGAAGATGTGGTATAATTCAACCAGGTAGTTGCATAGAAATTGGTGCTACGTGCGAGTCTTTGTGACACATCAGTTGCCAGTGGCAGTGGACATTAAGCCAGACTATCAGTCTTAGCAGTCACAATGCATGGACATTAGCCTTTGTTACACTTTTATATAAAGTCACAAAGAGCCAGCGGTCAGGTAATAGAGAACAGACAGGTGCAGAGTCACACAAAGCATCACCGGTCAACTTAAGCTAGACTTATTGCCTCCAAACATCACATTAACCCAAGGGCAGACACAGGAGGGTTTACAAGGGGTCAAGGTATTTAAACGGTCCTGTGGTCTGGAACAATTATATCCAAGAATACATTTCAATCTTCAAGCTGAGGGATTGAAAATAAAGCCGGTCTGAGAGGATAAGAAGTTTCCGAATACACAGGAAGGTAGGTTCCCCTAAATCCAAAAGCCGCCTGCCACGGCCCACTAGGAGACTGGATTACAGCACAAAGTACAGAATTCTCTCGTTGGAACACGGCACATCACTGGGAAGCTAGGATTGCTGGCTTCTGTAATGCAGTCTCATCTATTATTTTAACGTGTAAAGTTTGCACAGCGCTACGCAAATCTTCAGATAACTCATTAGCCTCTAATCACACTAGGGAAATTATACAAGTTGAAGATCAAAGGTCATTCTTAAATGATCACTATAGGGTCAGGAACACAAAAATGTATTCCTGACCCTATAGTGTTAAAACCACCATCTAGCCCCCCCTGGGCCCCTCATGCCTCCCTAAATATAGTAAAAATCTTACTGTATTCAAGCCTGAAGCTGTAGATCTGCATGCTGTTAGACTCAGAAAAACAAACAGTATGCTGACATCATCAGAAGTGGTAGCCTGATCCAATCACAATGCTTCCCCATAGGATTGGGTGAGACTGACAAAGAGGTAGATCAGGGGCAGAGCCAGCATGATTCAAACACAGCCCTGGCCAATCAGCATCCCCTCATAGAGATGAACTGAATCAATGAATCTCTACTAGGAAAGTTCAGTGTCTGCATGCAGAGGGAGGAGATACTGAATGTTTGGATGCATTTTAGGTGCCCTCCGACCCCCACCCATCCCTTCCCCCTGCCCCGCCTTCTAAATACACACACACACACACACATTCACTGACAGATACGCATACACTAGCTAACAGAAACACACACTCACAGGCAAACATACACACACAGTCAGACACACACAAACACTCACTCACACACACTAACAGACACACACTTATATTTTTTTTTAACCGCCCAGTCTCCTTACCTTTGGGAGTGCTGGGGGGGAGGGGAAGGGGTACTCTATCTCCCTGGGGGTTCAGTGGCTGCTGGCGAGGGAGCACTTCCCCTGAGTACTCTGCTCAGCTCCCTCGCACGCCTCAGAGTGAGGCTGGGAGCGGGAATATGACGTCATATTCCGGCTCCCAGCATCACTCTGCGGCGCGCGAGGGAGCTGAGCAGACCGCTCAGAGGAAGAGCTCCCTTGCCAGCCGCCCGCCAACGCCGCCCACCCAGCCCAGCATGTCAGTTAGCCGCAAGGCTAACAAGGCATTTGCCCTGGGCATTTGGGAGGCGGCTTTTTTTGCCGCCCCCTGGAAAATGCCGCCCAAGGCAAATGCCTTGTTTGCCTAGCGGCTAAAACGTCCCTGCTGTAATGTAAACACTGCATTTTCTCTGAAAAGACAGTGTTTACAGCAAAAAGCCTGCAGGTAATGATTCTACTCACCAGAACAAATTCAATAAGCAGTAGTTGTTCTGGTGACTATAGTGTCCCTTTAACCGTAAGGTTTTATCAGAGTCGCCAACTCCTATTCTTCAATTTCTGCATAATGTGTGGACTATAAAAAACCGTCAGGTGAGAAAGGTGATACAAACCTCTTTCCATCTAATATTTCCATTCACAGGGGTATCTGGTCAGCTAGCCAAAAGGGCACCTACTATCCCAGCACTAATCCCATACCAGGCACAGCGACATTTTATACATCCAACACAATGTATGGGCAAACAGGATGTCCAAAATGGTGGGGACGGTTACGGAGAGCAGAGTTGGCTTGAGAAAGGCTCTTGGGTGTGCCAAAACCATTCCACTCTAACAAAGTCTGTATTTTGGATATTCTGTGTGTGGCCGGACATCTGTTCTCTACGTTTAGATTAACAAAAAAAAAAAATCTGTAGAGTCCAACACAAACTCTTAGGGTTGAGAATTCTACATCTTTATTGTTTTTACTATAGAGAACTATTTCATCTGTTGTAAGTGAAATTGCCTTTCTTCCAGTCTCAATGGTGAACTCTTGCCGATTGTATATTCCTGCTAATGAATAGGTTAGCACATAGCGGTTTGTACTGACCCTGTATATATTTATGTAGGGCTATCATATCCCCTCTAAGGTCTCTTTCCCCCCCGCCCCTGTAGAAAACAAATGCAGTTTTCTATCCTTTCATCATAACTAGGGTTTCCCCATAACCCTTATTAATGGGGTAGTTTGCCTCTGTAGTTCTGCAATAGCTTTCTTTAAACCTGGTGCCCTAAATTGCACTGCATTTTCAAGATGGGGTCTGGGATTTATTAAAGTGCAAAAAAATTAAATTATATTTTGATCATGTGTAGCAATACCCCTACTGATATAGGACCTCACCAATAGACCTTATACAAGCCATAGATTTCATGTTACACAAGGTTTCAATGGCGTTCTTATGGAAGCTGTATATTATATGCAAAGTGCCTGGAATTAAAGATTAAGCTGTATTGGTTGCTACTCCCGCCCCAAACTGCTGGCTTATATTAAATATAAAACCTGTCCCATCCCCGGTTCTGTATTTCCCCTTTTATAAAAGTGCTGACGATTGAAGTATAGAATGTGACCTATATTTGCCAAGTGAATATATTAAGACTTGTCGGAACACGTGTGAAGTTCTAAGAGTTACTATTTATCAACGTCAGACGATTTAGATCATTCGGGTTCTAACACTACAAGTAACCAACAATGTAGGAATATATTCACTAAACAGTGACCTGAAAGGAATCCAGGCAATAGATCAAAATAAATAAAGCTCTACTTCAGCCATAGCCACGGGTTGACCACTGAATTCTGCAGTCTGGTTTTCAATACAATTCCCCCTCTGTGTGTGATACATCGAAGGAATAGCAATACAGGGTGTGATGGGAATCATGGTGGATATTTAAATAAATCTGACCAGTCCGGGCCCCCCCAGGACTACAGGGCCCATGACAACCGTTATGGTTGTCATGCCCTGATGGCGGCCCTGATGAGTTGTATATTTATGCAATATTTACAGTTTTGGCAAGTTATTTTTATTAATCCAAGTTAGTTGAACTTGTAGCGTATAAATTAAAAAAATAATGTACAGAAAAATGATCTTAATTCTATTGTTGTAATGTAATGTGTACATAATGAACATGTTTAGTTTAATCCGGTCTCCAAATATACGGGAATCAGGACTAACCCATTTAATTGGAGATTGTTCACCTTGCAATCATTTCATCATTATCAATACATTTCTAATGGTTTATAACACAATCGTTTCTGATAGAACTGTTAAACTAATTGGAAGAGTTATTGTAAAATCTTCATCAAGTTTAGAGATATTAAAATTTATAACAACCAGTAAGAATAATAAAGGTTTTACATTTAAGATCGAGTCATGATTTAAGATCGAGCCACTAATGATTTAAATCAAAGCCACTTCAATAAGGACTAGTCTCTGGAACAGGTTTGGTTTTTTAGGACTTACCTATTCACATCCTAAACAGTAGGTTTCCAGAAACAGGCTGCTGGTGTGGATTGTCACGATAATTGTATCCCATCCGGATTTAGAATAGATGGGATCACATAGCATCGGGGTGTATTACTGGGATCCCTTCTGCACTGTACCTCACAGTCAGCAGACACATTCCAGCCAATCAGCAGCAGACCCTCCCTCCCACAGTCCACTAACTATAAAGCACTCCTAGTGGCCGTCTGAGTGACTATAACTAGAGGTGTTTCTCTCAAAAAAGGCAGTGTTTACATTAAAAAGCCTGCAGGTACATACTATACACACCAGAACAACTACATTAAGCTGTAGTAGTTCTGGTGATTATAGTGTCCCTTTAATTTTAGGGGTGTTAGTGGTGGTGTGACCAGGGGTGGGACTGATCTAAGAAAGTTTAAGTGATTTACTAATAACAATTTATAGAACTAAAATGTAATTTAGAAAAAGAACAATGTATCTTATTTACAGACTGATTTCTAAACACATTTATTGTAGTTTAACCCCTTAACCTCTTAAGGACGCAGCTTCAAAAACTGGACTTACCCCTAAAGGATCACTATAGGGTCAGGAACACAAACATGTATTCCTAACCCTATAGTGTTAACACCACCGTCTAGCCCCCCTGGCCCCTCATGCCTCCCTAAAAATAGCAAAATCTTACTGTATTCAAGCCTGAAGCTGTAACTCTTAATGCTGTTTGACTCAGAATAGTCAATAGTCAAAACCTATCTGCTGACATCATCAGAGGTGGTAGCCTGATCCAATCACAATGCTTCCCCATAGGATTGGCTGAGACGGAGGCAGAGCCAGCACAATTCAAACACAGTCCTGGCCAATCAGCATCTCCTCATAGAGATGAATTGAATCAATGTATCTCTATGAGGAAAGTTCAGTGTCTGCATGCAGAGGGAGGAGATACTGAATGTTTGGATGTATTTTAGGCAGCCATGACCCAGGAAGGATCTCTAACAGCCATCTGAGGAGTGGCCAGTGAAGTTATCACTAGGCTGTAATGTAAACACTGCATTTTCTCTGAAAAGCCTGAAGGGAATGATTCTACTCACCAGAACAAATTCAATAAGCTGTCGTTGTTCTGGTGACTATAGTGTCCCTTTAATTCACCTTCCTGCTTAATACTCACTACCTCACCCACCCCCCAATTCCCACTTTCACCGACAGAAAACCCTACACCCAGCTAAACCCAAAATAAAATTACTGATCGCAGGCCAATTATGTGCGACAGCACTAAAAGGGTTATTTTTAAAAATTTTTACAGAAATTAAGAGAAAAAAAATGTCAGCCTTCTGAACACGTATATGCGGGAGTATTATTGCTGTGGAGCTCTGTGATACACTCAGACACATTACTGGGAGTATTATTGCTGTGGAGCTCTGTTATACACTCAGACACATTACTGGGAGTATTATTGCTGTGGAGCTCTGTTATACACTCAGACACATTACTGGGAGTATTATTGCTGTGGAGCTCTGTTATACACTCAGACACATTACTGGGAGTGTTGTTGCTGTGGAGCTTGTTATACACTCAGACACATTACTGGGAGTGTTATTGCTGTGGAGCTCTGTTATACACTCAGACACATTACTGGGAGTATTATTGCTGTGGAGCTCTGTTATACACTCAGACACATTACTGGGAGTATTATTGCTGTGGAGCTCTGTTATACACTCGGACACATTACTGGGAGTATTATTGTTGCGGAGCTTTGCTATACACACAGGCACATTACTGGGAGTATTATTGCTGTGGAGCTCTGTTATACACTCAGACACATTACTGGGAGTATTATTGCTGTGGAGCTCTGTTATACACTCAGACACATTACTGGGAGTATTATTGCTGTGGAGCTCTGTGATACACTCAGACATTACTGGGAGTATTATTGCTGTGGAGCTCTGTGATACACTCAGACACATTACTGGGAGTATTATTGCTATGGAGCTATGTTACACACAGACACATTACTGGGAATATTATTGCTGTGGAGTTCTGTTATACACTCAGACACATTACTGTTGCTGTGGAGCTCCATTATACACTCAGACACATTACTGGGAGTATTATTGCTGTGGAGCTCTGTTATACACTCAGACACATTACTGGGAGTATTATTGCTGTGGAGCTCTGTTATACACTCAGACACATTACTGGGAGTATTATTGCTGTGGAGCTCTGTTATACACTCAGACACATTACTGGGAGTATTATTGCTGTGGAGCTCTGTTATACACTCAGACACATTACTGGGAGTATTATTGCTGTGGGGCTCTGTTATACGAGACACATTACTGGGAGTATTATTGCTGTGTAGCTGTTATACGCTCAGACACATTACTGGGAGTATTATTGCTGTGGAGCTCTGTTATACACTCAGACACATTACTGGGAGTATTATTGCTGTGGAGCTCTGTTATACACTCAGACACATTACTGGGAGTATTATTGCTGTGGAGCTCTGTTATACACTCAGACACATTACTGGGAGTATCATTGCTGTGGAGCTCTGTTATACACTCAGACACATTACTGGGAGTATTATTGCTGTGGAGCTCTGTTATACACTCAGACACATTACTGGGAGTATTATTGCTGTGGAGCTCTGTTATACACTCAGACACATTACTGGGAGTATTATTGCTGTGGAGCTCTGTTATACACTCAGACACATTACTGGGAGTATTATTGCTGTGGAGCTCTGTTATACACTCAGACACATTACTGGGAGTATTATTGCTGTGGAGCTCTGTTATACACTCAGACACATTACTGGGAGTATTATTGGTGTGGAGCTCTGTTATATACTCAGACACATTACTGGGAGTATTATTGCTGGGAGCTCTGTTATACACTCAGACACATTACTGGGAGTATTATTGCTGTGGGGCTCTGTTATACACTCTGACACATTACTGGGAGTAAGAGGTTATAACTATCAGGGTATCAGGGAGAGAGGTTATAACTATCAGGGTATCAGGGAGAGAGGTTATAACTATTAGGGTATCAGGGAGAGAGGTTATAACTATTAGGGTATCAGGGAGAGAGAGGTTATAACTATCAGGGTATCAGAGGGAGAGAGGTTATAACTATCATGGTATCAGGGAGAGAGAGGTTATAACTATCATGGTATCAGGGAGAGAGAGGTTATAACTATTAGGGTATCAGGGAGAGAGGTTATAACTATCAGGGTATCAGGGGGAGAGGTTATAACTATCAGGGTATCAGGGAGAGAGAGGTTATAACTATCAGGGTATCAGAGGGAGAGAGGTTATAACTATCATGGTATCAGGGAGAGAGAGGTTATAACTATCATGGTATCAGGGAGAGAGAGGTTATAACTATTAGGGTATCAGGGAGAGAGGTTATAACTATCAGGGTATCAGGGGGAGAGGTTATAACTATCAGGGTATCAGGGGGAGAGAGGTTATAACTATCAGGGTATCAGAGGGAGAGAGGTTATAACTATTAGGGTATCAGGGAGAGAGGTTATAACTATCATGTTATCAGGGAGAGAGGTTATAACTATCAGGGTATCAGGGAGAGAGAGGTTATATGTGATGTATGTGTGTTTGTGTGTAATGTGTGGGGTGGGGGGCCGTTTAGTTAATATCCCTCCTCCCTTCTTACCTTATGTCGGGAGGGGGGACTGTGCTGCTGCCATCCCTGGTGGTCCAGTGGTGAGTGAACTCTATCCCCGCGAGAGGAACCCGACGGAGCTGCTGGCAAGAGCTCCCCGGGTTCTCTCCTGCCTCCATGCTGCTGTGGGTCTGTGAGGGAGATCTGTAATATTAATGCAGTGTTTACTCACACACCATCAGATCTTTGATCTCCCTCACTGGCCCACGGAGGGAGGCAGATAGCGTGTGCTGCGGGGATTAGGGTGTGCCCAGGCCTATGTATCAGGGTATCAGGTGCAACTATCAGAGGTATCAGGAGAGAGGTTAACTATTAGGGTATCAGGGAGAGAGGTTATAACTATCAGGGTATCAGGGAGAGAGGTTATAACTATTAGGGTATCAGGGAGAGAGGTTATAAGGGAGAGAGGTTATAACTATCAGGGTATCAGGGAGAGAGGTTATAACTATTAGGGTATCAGGGAGAGAGGTTATAACTATCAGGGTATCAGGGAGAGAGGTTATAACTATTAGGGTATCAGGGAGAGAGGTTATAACTATTAGGGTATCAGGGAGAGAGGTTATAACTATCAGGGTATCAGGGAGAGAGAGGTTATAACTATTAGGGTATCAGGGAGAGAGGTTATAACTATCAGGGAGGGAGATTCTCAAAATAAACAAGCAGATTCTCAGGGTCTTAGGGTGAATAAGGACATTTTAGTCATAAATGTGCAGAATATCAAAGTCTTGTAATCAATAATAAGATTATTGGAGTTAATGAGCAGATACTGGGGTTAAACAGTATGAATGTATCGCCTTTATAATTCACAGTAATTAGCTTTTTTTCTAATACTCTGTCACAAAGAAAATCCCTGCTTGAATGCAGGTGTCCCTATAAAAGTTAGCTAAGTCGGGACAAGCGTGGAATGCCTCGAATGAGATTAGTTACTACTATTTAATTACCACATTCAGTGAGATGGGCTGTTAAATGTTTAACATCATTCAGTTTATTCTAACAGCTCTCACAATTAACATTATCCATTTTACGCTGGTAGACATACAATTTACAGAAACTCTGCTCTTAGGGCGCCCCCTGTGGTCCATTCTGACAGGCAGCCTGCTGGGAGACGTAGTATAACACGCTGTAATATTAATGCAGTGTTTACTCACACACCATCAGAGCCCGGGTACTGCTTTACAGAAGTGCTGCTGGCAATGCACTGACTCAGCCGCCATGCTGCAAGGCAAAAACTTGTTTTGGCCAAATCACATTGCCCCAAAATAAGACATTCATCCGGACGGCAGAATTTCAACCAAATGGTGGTTCTGCTCGTCCGAATTTCATTAAGGTAAAAAAAGATTTTAGAAAATGAATCAGATAAACAAAAAAAAGAGACACAAAAACAGGCCAAGCCGTGTCCTGCAAAATACATGCATAATATACATTTTATAAATATCACGTATACAGTATAATTTGACATTTAGAAAATTGGGCAGACTAGATGGGCCGAATGGTTCTTATATGCCGTCACATTCTATGTTTCTATATATATAAAAATGACCGTTATAGTCATTAGCAATCATGGACTTATTAAAAATCTTCCTTTATTATTCTATGTTTTAAAAAATTGACCAACGTTTCAGTCCAACCTATGGACTTTCTTCAGGATCATCCCGGGGGTTGATCCTGAGGAAAGTCCATAGGTTGAACTGAAAAGTTGGTCATTTTTTTACATATCTATATAAAAAAAAATATATATATATATATATATATATATATATAGATAGATCGATAGATAGATAAATTATATATATTTTTTTTAAGACTAATTTTTTTCCTCCTCTAGAGACTGTCCTCTAGCCATCAATCATCTCTTTTTTTGAGTAGAATTCGGAATAAGTAATTATAACGAACATGCCTGGCCTTGTTTGGTTTGTGATTCAGCTGCATTTTTGCTCAGGGTTCAGAAATTCGGCCCAAATTTGGGTAAATTGCAGGGGTAGTTAAGGCGGTTGGTTAAGCATGTCTGGTTATACGGTTGGTTATTGTGTTTCGAGCCCGTCGGTGGCTCAGAACCGCGGGGGTGTAGGGGTATCTGGGCATAACCCTACCACGGTTCTGTTTAGAAAATGTATTTGCACGTTATTTGTTGTGTATGTGTGTTGTTACATTGTTAATTATATTGTTTATGGGTCATTACCTTTTATTGTTATTGTTATGATCAATAGTTATCTTATGTTATATCAATAGTGTGAGTGTCTTATCTGGGGGTTGTGTTGGGAACCTGCCCAACTTGCGACAATGCACCTGTCATGACAAACAATGGAGGTGTGACATCATATAAGCAGGTACAATAATTATCAAAAACGGAGGAGGCAGGGTTAAAATGCAGAATATTTATTGTACATAACTGAGCAGCAAAAAATATACTTCTAATAATTTGGGCCATCAGCTATACACATGCTTTAAGTTGGATGGATTCCATTGCTATCAGATGTCTTTAATTGATACATATTATACATTATAAAGGGATGCACACATTCAGCACAAACTGTTCTCACTGCTGGTAAAATTGAGGAAGAAAAACATTTCAGTTGTTTTTAGTACGTCCCTCTCAGGTGTTTACAGACATTTTTGGTAGATTTATGGGGCAGCTGTTTTATGGTTTAATTGTCTCATTGTGTTCACACAGCGCGAGATGGGAAGGGTTCGGTCAAGCAGGTTTAAGAAACATGTATTAACGTAACACTAAAACCTAACCTCTTAAGCAATGCTTCTCAGCTATTTTACTTCAAGGACTGACAAATAAAATGTATAGGCTCCACCAGGGCTAATACAAGGGGTTTCACTCCTCAAAGCATAAATCCACATGCAACCTCCTCGTGTATTCCACATTAGTTTATTTTTATTATTCATTTTCCTTTATAGTTTCTTTGTCTGTCAGTCTGTTTCTTCCTTTTTCGTCTCTTTTTATGTCAGTGTCTTTCTGTCCGGCTCACACTGTACGTGTCTTGTTTTACAACGAGTATGTGTCTCGTTTTCCTGTTAGTTTTCTGCCAGTCTCTCTCTCTGTCCCCTCTCTTGTTTTTTCCTAACTAGCATTTCCGACAGTCTCGCCACATGGGTGCATTGACGATTGTGTTTGTAGGGATTCCGCGTTTGTGTGTGATCAAGGCTGTATGGTAGTGATATGTGTGGGGAGCCTTTGTATATTGTTTGTATGTGGATACTGTGTATTATGGGAGTGGAGGGCCCCCTAGTGGTCACGTAACAAATTAAGGGGTTGTCTCCTGGGAGGGGAGTGCAAACGAGTAGATATATAGTTTGGCAGGAGTGAGGGGCCTATTCATAGCTTATTGGGTGCCATTCCAGTCTGCCAGTCTCTCACTGCTTTCTCCTCTGGGTTTTCGGCAGTGCACTTGCCGGTGGGGTTCGCCACTAAGTTTCGCCACTCCATAGTTGGGCTGGTTTGTTGAGCTCACCACCCTCCCTGGTTTATTTCTTCAACTCTCCTGTGGCAGCTGTCAGTTACTTTAGTCTGTCGGCGCCACTGTTCTGTTGAGAGATAGTTCTGTACCATTTGCTGCTCCTGCAAGAAGGTGCGGGTCCAGCGTAATGCAGAGATGAAGGATGAGAGTGCCGGCAAGTTTATGTTGGTCTGTTGGGGAACCCTTCTAGAGCATATAGGTGAGGTGCGGTCTCCCCTAAGATCCTGTTTTCCTCCGATTGGGCGGAAGCAATGCGGGATTTACTGCAGGAATAGGTGGGAGCTGCATCCTCTTGGGGTCTGAATAATTAGGGCCTCAATGCCGCCACCCTAGACATCAGTTATTCTGTCCTAGTACTTGTTATTTATTTTGTTGGTTAAATGTTGGATGCCTTTTAATTATGGTTAATTTAAGCAACCAGCGATGGTTTTCCCCTTCCAATCTGTTCTACTTGCTTTATTGGGGGATTTATAGGAAAATGGTAAGAGGGAGGGGGTGGAGATTGGGTTATATTATGTTTTATTATGTAGTTGCACGTAGGTACAATAAGAGATCTACCCATTATGTGTGATCTGGCTTAGTGAATGGGAGGTTGTGTATGAAGTGGCTGTAGAGACAGAGTGGTGATGTGTGTTGTTATTGGGTTGTATGTTGGGTTGTGTGTGGGGGAGGGTGGATATGTGTTTTGTGTGTGTGGGAGGCTGTGTGTATTGTAAGAGGATGTGATGGGCTGTTCAATATTAGTGGCCTGTGGGGCTGAAATGTGCCCCCTGTGCATACTGTGATCATGGCACATGCATGCCCTATGTACTATTAGGGTGAGTATGTATAATGAGTGACAGCCGAGTCCTCATTGCGTGCAACCCAGATATATCGCATTTTGTAAATATGCAGCCCAGTTATCATTAAATCTGTCTATAATTACACTGAAATGCACCATCTGAATGAACCACATTGAGAATAAATAGATTAATCACATGTCCTATATCTGTGCGGTTTCCGTCCCTGATCGCTTCCCTGTCTTCGCAGCAATCCACCGTGGAGACCCTGAAACGCGCGAAGCGCGCATGGATCATAGACACATTTGAACTTCAGGAGGAATTGCCCGGCCCATACCCAAAATTCATTGGCAGGGTTTGTACAATAACTTTTACTAAGAAACTAATTTCTATACACTGTGTTCATCACATTTTATTTTACAGAAAATTCTGGGCATTATACATTGTCCTTCAGAAAGCAAAATAATTACAGCAATAAGTGTGACCCTAACTCTTGTCAGCTCTCCTCCCACAGTGCACAGTCCGCCATCTCTCCTCCCACTGCACAGTCTGCCATCTCTCCTCCCACAGCGCGCAGTCTGCCATCTCTCCTCCCACAGCGCACAGTCTGCCATCTCTCCTCCCATAGCGCACAGTCTGCTATCTCTCCAACCACAGTGCAGTCTGCCATCTCTCCTTCAACTGCACAGTCCGCCATCTCTCCTCCTTCAACTGCACAGTCTGCCATCTCTCCTCCCACAGCGCGCAGTCCGCCATCTCTCCTCCCGCAGTGCAGTCTGCCATCTCTCCTTCAACTGCACAGTCCGCCATCTCTCCTCCCACAGCGCACAGTCTGCCATCTCTCCTCCCACAGCGCGCAGTCCGCCATCTCTCCTCCCACAGCGCACAGTCTGCCATCTCTCCTCCCACAGTGCAGTCTCATAGCTCTCCTCTCACAGTGCCCAGCCTGTCATCTCTCCTCCCACTGCGCAGTCTTCCATCTCGCAGTCCGCCATAGCTCTCCTTCCAAGAACAGTCTGCCATCTCTCCTGCGTTAAAGTGAGTTTGAGTTGTACCTTTGCCAGTAGTGATTTATCTGGTTCTCTGTTTGCTCCCACGTCTGATAGGTACAAGTGGAAGAAGATGAGCAAATGAAATACAAGCTGACGGGGATAGGGGTGGACGAGGATCCTAAGGGGCTCTTCCACATTAATGAGGACGATGGATCTATTTACGTGCACCAGAAGATAAATTACGAAGCCACTCCAATGTTCCAAGTGAGTATTCCAACTTTTCATTCGCTATGTATCCACCATCCTTTAAACTGGATCTTGTGGTTTATTCACTAAAATGTAAGATACGAGTCGCTACATTTTCTCTCTCTGATGTTTTATGCCAACATTGTGCAAGTTAATGTGTAGTTCATCCCAATAATTACATGGTTCCCTGAGTCTTCATTCTCCAATTTTATCCGATGGTATTTACTCTTCCGGGTCCATGATAATCATTTGATAAAACGTGATAATGTTTCACTGTGAACTGCTGTGAATGCCTAGGAAACGTCACATATTGGGTTAAACCCATGGAAACTCAGATTACATTTTTTGTTTCCATTCAGATATTTTATTCTAAAATGTGAAATTCTTTGGTGAATTAGTAAATAACCCTTTGAATTTGTATTTCAAACCAGTTCTTGTCAGTGTTGGGACCACCGATGAATTTCTCAGCGTCTAAGATTGCGCAATAAAATCACTAAGATATTTGTTCTGGAATGTATTTATTTTATTGTGAATTTATTGGGATATATATCTATATATTTAAGAATTTTTTTTTTGCATATATTCTAAAAATGTCTATTTTTGTGAAAGTGCCATTTTACACTACTTCCTTTCTGACCAGTAATTATTAAGATTGGGTATTGTGGCCAAAATGTCATGCTCATCATTCCTACCTATCAATGTTTGGGTTCCATTTTCACAATTTAGCTGTGACGGAGCTCAGCACTCCTGGATACCTGAAGTGATTATAGCTGTTATAGTTGTCTCACCAAAACACTAGCTGAGACTTAGTGAAGGGTGAATAAGAACTGTCTTTATTGAGAACAAGGTACACTTATTCTCAATAAATATACACACATCCCCAGGGCCACCATCAGGGGGTGACAACCATGACAGCTGAAACGGGCCCGGCGGCCCTGGGGGTTCGGCTGCCCAGGCCCCACGTGTAGCGGTTGGAACTGCAACCGGTGCTCCTTCACCGGGGGCCCGCACGCTGATGGGCCCCATCAGGTGGCCCAAGCATTTAGGACCACCTGATGGGCCCTATATCTTCAGGGGCCCGGTCAGCGCTGCGGCTGTGTAATAGCCCGACCGGGCCCCTTTTAAAAATGCCAGCCGCAACTCTTGCTGGGAAGAAGTGACGGCCGGTCAAATCCTCCCAGCTCACTCTGCACGGGAGGGAGGAGAGACAGCGTGAAGGCCGTGAAGAGGGAGAGCCAGCCAACTCCCATCAACTCTAGCCACCCTCCTGCAATGAAAAGATAAGAAACAGGAGAGTGACTGAAAAATGAGCTGTGTGTGTGTATGTATGTATGTCAGTATGTCTGTCTGTATTTGAGTATGTCTGTCTGTCAGTCAGTATGTATGTATGTCTATGTCACGTATTCATCCGCTTATAAAAATGTGGTTAACGGCATTTACTGTCCACACAGGAAAAGTTGTGCCGAGCAGCAACCAAATCCACAAAAGGGTTAATGCTGAGCAGCAATTATGCAAATGTGAACCTGGTAACGGCTTTTGGGGTCAGATCTAGAGGAGGGGTATTTAGGCCCAGTTCTCATCCTGCTTAGTGCCCTGTCGTGGTTTCCCTTCTGGTGGTCCGAGAGCGCGTTCCTGATTCAAGTTTCTTCTGGTTTTTGACTTTGGCTTTGATTTTGACTTCCCTGTTTTCTGGTATCCCTAACTTCTGGCTTTCTCTTATCGTTGTGTCTCTTTCTGTATTCCCTGACCTCGGCAAGTATCCTGACTATTCTTTGGTACGTTAAGTCCGGCCATTCTAAGGCCCGGTAATACGTTACCTATTAGTCATCTGTGTGACACAATTCTACGTGCTGGATCAACTAGCAATCCTGACAGTCTGTATGTATGTATGTATGTCTGTCTGTCTGTGTGTATGTATGTACGCATGTGTCTGTGTGTATGTATTTCAGTATGTAAGTATGTATGTATGTCAGTTTGTATGTATGTATGTCAGTGTGTGTGTGTATGTATGTGCCTATGCATATGTATGTGTGTCTGCATGTATGTTAGTATGTGTCTGTGTGTCACTATGTATGTCTGTGTTTCTGTATATGTGTGTGTCAGTATGAATGCCTGTATGTGTGTTTGTCTGTTTCAGTATGTCTGTCTGTTAGTATGTATATGTGTGTGTCAGTATGTGTGAATCTTTGTCCTTTTTGTATCACTGCATGTGTCTGTATGTATTCCTGTGGGTGGGATTTGGAGGCTGGCCCTGGGGTGGGATTTGGAGGCAGGCCCTGGGGGGCTTGGAGGTGGGCCCACGGGGGCCTTGACCTTGAGCTGTGTTAGGGGCCCCAAAATTTCTGATGGCGGCCCTGCACGTCCCCAACAGAGGGTCCATGGCTTAAATCCCACACTGACGCCTCTGAATCTGTGCGATAACAAGATCAGTAACTGCTAAGTTAATTATCTCAAAGACATCAAGGTGTCATCACAATATACCCCAAAACATACGGAATGACACAAATAAGCCCCGCGTGTCTTATATCACCGGATAGCTCTCCCCTCTGGTTAAAAAGAGCGATCTCGCCGTACTCCTGTTGCTGAATCACCACCCGGTTAAAGTCTTGGCCAGAGTAACCACTATGAGATTTGCTGCTTTCCCTGCAAGACTCGGTCACCGGGTGGGTTGCAGTGAGGGTGCTCTTCGGGGCTGTGCCTAATAAAGGACAGGGCGAAAACCAGGAAATATGACTTTAGTTTTAAGTGAGAAATTGGGGTGAATGTCTCGGCATAGTGGCTGGACTGCGGATCTGTCACAAGCTGTTACTGCTTACTTACATTTTGTCCACTCCAAACTCCACTCAGCGCAAGAGACGGTATATAAAGCTCAGTCCCTTCAGCTGTATTGCGCAAGTCCTTCATTCCTGCAATAAAGGAGGGTGGGTGCTTTATGCCCACTACAGTACTTTTATGCTAAACGCAGTAGCAGCCTGCAATGCCTTATATTGTACAGATCACAAAGTTTAGTCTCGTAACTGTCCATATTGTTTGTGGCCATTATGCGCACATAGAGACATTATATTAACATGCTGCTCAATACACCTGTGCTAAAGGCCAATAGCAATACACCTGAGTTAATGTCAGATAGAGATACACCTGAGTTAACGGTAGATGTACCTGTAATTAAGCAGATACATCACCATATCTGTCTTGTTAGTGAGCCTTGCAAGAGGCTGGGACAGATCTGGTCACTATTTGTGCTTTCTGTCCCATGGATATAGCTCATAATATTCTAATATCGTCTCCATATCACTGGCAGTAAATGAAATCCCTGTCCATCTAATGCTTCTTACTTCTTCCCAGCTGACACTTTGTATCTCACTGCTTGCTTTTATTCCTATCACCTTTCCTTCCATTCCCTCTCCTCTCCCTCCCATCTCCTTCGACTCACTCCCCGACGTGTGTTAATTGCAAACTCTTTGAAAATGTTGGTTTTCTCTTTTCCTTCTTTCCCTTTCAGTGGAAATTCAACGCTATAAACAAAACCTCCGGCAAAGTGGGGACAAAACTCGGAATTCAGCTGAAGATCTTGGACATTAATGACAATGTCCCACAGTTCAGCCAGAAGTCTTATGAAGTTTCTGTTAATGAAAGCTTTGTGCAAGGTACAGCAACTAAACCGTACACGCCATCTGCTCGCCGCACGCTCAGGTCAGCCTGTTTGCGTGTCCCAGCTGCCTGCTAATTGCACGGTGGTTCTAGCACAGTCTCAAACAATTTAATTGCTACCTGATGCACCAACTAACTGTGCCCACCAGCCGACACACTCACTTATCTGCTTCCAAAAATATCGTTTTGATGTCTTTCATTTTCCATCCACAAAAAAAAGGCTGAGCCCACCGCACGCCTGTCTACAGCCCAGTCAATAGTCCTGCATTCTGGTCCCGTTAACACACCGCAGAATCAATTGTAAACACTGTTGTTATACAAGAATTTTACATATTAATAACCGGCTCATTAATGCCCGAAGACAACTTATGTTATTTTATGATTACACAGATTTAACCCTCTGTCCATGGGCATGAAATATACTGGGTTGGTTGCAGTGGTAATTAATTGGTTAACACAGCATAAACAGTATGCTGGAAGATAAAATCAACACTGTCTTATATCTGGCTGAGGGTAATATGAGTTGTACCTAGAATGTGCCAACCAATATTGAGCTGGGACAAACCCAGAGAAAAATATAAACGCATTTCTCTGAGTTTCTAATAGGTAAGTAGGAAAAGTTCCATACTGGAGTTTTCCTGATTTCTCTTCTTTTATATATCAAAAATGTGGTTTCTTGGATGGCAGACGCAGGGAATTCTGCACGTGTTAAGATATATTGTTAATATAATATTAATGTTGATTTATTTATAAAGCACAGTCACATTCATGCAGCATTTGTCATGTTACAACAGCGAAAGAAATCAAAAAGTCTTATACTGTGGATCTGCTGGGTAAAAAGGAACAGACAGACAGAAAATACTAAAATTCTACTTATAAGGGATTTATTCACTAAACAGTGTTATGGTAAAATTACAAACATTTCAAGTACAGCTACTTTTTTTTGACTACTATATTTCTTTTGATATTATTATTTGATACATAATGCGTTGCCAACAATGTATTTTACAGTGAATAATCCACATAGAGCCTGCTTGTTTTCCAAAGATTAATATTCCCATGGAAACACATGCTGCTTCCCAATAATGTTTGTGGAAGGCGTAGAGTCTGTCAGCCCCGTCACAGGGTCAGAGCTGTAGAATGTCACGGCTGGGTGTGAAGGAGAAGGCATCCCAATAAATCAAACAGTAAACTTGGTTTGTGGTTATTACTTAATTCCGAAGTCTGGAGACAGTGGGGTTCTGTATGAAGAGCAATTATGGGGCAGAATTGTAAAATTGGCACAGTTACCATGGAAACCAGTGGACTGTTTCTGCTAGTTATTTTGTGGCTGAGAACTGCCACCATGTTAATATTGTGTCATTTGTATATATTTCTGTACGGTAGGAAATACGGTCTTTACGGTGTTGGCTTCAGATTTAGATGAAGAAGACAGCTTGAATTCCAAGGTGTTGTATCGTATTGTGTCACAGATGCCTACTGATTCCGACGTCGAGTTCACTATCGAACCAGAGAAAGGCTTCATTTCGTTTAAAGGATGTCTGGATTACGAGGTGCGACAGACTTGCGAGAACGGGTGTATTGACTTGCTCGCAGTGTGCCGGTTGTGATGTCATGGGTGCAGTTTCTGTAAATAGCGGGGAATTTGTCATCGTCACATTCAGCTTAGTTGGTGACAGCCTGCACCAGGTGGCTGTAATTTGCAGTTTGCATTTTGTATCTATTGAGACCAGATTGCAGTCAAGGATACAGAATCATTAAAAACTGCTAATGGCAGAATTTCTTTCAGAATATAACTTGCATTATCCTTTTTCCTTTGATATATTCCTTAACCTGGATTTCTTGTCCTCATTATAGTAACCTACAGCCTTGAGTGCCCCTGTATGCTGTGCACACTGTCGTTGATTGTTGCCTAACTTACTTGATCACTTCAAATTCCTGTATAAACTTTCTTCATTGTTATTTCCACCATCCTGATCTGTCTGTAATCTTTTCTTTCCCAGAGAAATAAAAAGTATAAATTGGTGGTCGAATCCAAGGACAATGGTGAGGACATCCAGCTCAGCAGCTCCTGTGAAGTTAATATCTATATTGTAGATCGAAACAACCATTTACCAGTCTGGAACGCATCGCAGGTACAGGGCATCGCAGAGTGGGGTGGAACCTGCAAATGTTTCTAGAACTCAATTCATCTTCTATTTCTATCTTCTCATTTAAAAACCCCTAAAGGCACCCACCCACTTTTCATCTCAATGATCTGTCTCAATGGTGTGTTCCAATGATCTGTCTCAATGGTGTGTTCCAATGATCTGTCTCAACGATATCTCAATGGTGTGTCACAACGATATTTATTTATTTATAATATATTTCACCAGGATGGTAACATTGAGATTTCTCTCCTTTTCAAGTATGTCCTGGGTCCACGAACACTGCATTTTTACATTGCATTGTGACCAAAAAATACAACATACAAACAATATATATATATATATATATATATATATATAAAAGGTAATAAATATATTCAACCATGACAGGTGCATTCTGTGCTGAGGTATATTGCCATAGATCTCTTAAAAGATTTTAGATTGAATGAAGATTTGACTGTGTCCCTGAGGTTATAATTGCGGTTTGCTAAATATCGTGTTAGTACTGGATCGGAGGTTATGGAGGTGGGAGCAGCTGGGGAGAGCATTCTGCTCCGGTAGGGTGGGAGCTTCCCAGAAATGCTTTGAAACACAAGGCTGGAAAGATGAAGAGTGCGTCGGGATTCCAGCGATAGCCAGTTTAGTTCTTTTAACATGTCCCAGTGATGGGTAAAGTAATTACATTGTAGTACAAAGCGGCAGAACGAATTATATAATGTATATTTAGTAAGTTTATTAAGGTGGACTTGAGGTGCGGGTACATACACTACATCCCCATAACCAATGACCGGCATTAGCATTTGTTGCCTTACCATAGGGCTTAGGCAGGATTTGTTTCTGTACAGGGCACCTAGTTTTGGGTAAAGTTTTAAAGAGATTTTTTCAATGTGAAGGCCAAAGGATAGATTGGGGTCTAGAAATATACCTAAATATTTAAAAGAGCAGACTGCTGTCAGTGTGCTATTTGAATTTGTTCTGATAAATAGTTGTTGATTTTGTAGTTAACGTACTTTAGGTACTGTCCCAAAGATCATTGTAACAGTTTTGTCAGTGTTTAGGAAGAGTTTGTTATCCGCTATCAACTTCTCTACCTCTGTGAATTGGTTTTGGAGCACAGACTCAAACTGTGGTAAATTGGGGTTATTAGCGTAGATTACTGTCGTCTGCGTACATGTGTACAGTTAAGGATTTGCCTACATTAGGCAGATCATTTATAAATAATGTAAATAGTAGGGGGCAGAGAATGGAACCTTGGGGAACACCACGCGTGACTGGTAGAGGGAGTGAGGCGCTATCAGATATGGCCACATATTGTGATCGATCCGATACCTATGATCGAAACCAGGTTAGTAGACGAATCACAAATACCTGAGTTTTTAAGTTTTTGAAAAAGAATGCCATGGTCTACTGTGTCAAAGGCCTTGGCAAAATCAAGGAAAATAGATATGTCTCAATTGTGTGTCTCAATGATGCGTCTCAATGATGCGTCTCAATGATGCGTCTCAATGATGCGTCTCAATGAAGTGTCTCAATGATGCGTCTCAATGATGTGTTTCAGTGACGTTTCTCAATGACATGGAGCGGTCTGGGTGCAGTGCTTCCTTTGATTTAACCCTGTAAAATAAAAAATTTAAATTTAGTGTATATGGCAATGTTTACATTGCAAGGTTAAATCTACCTAACCATCACTGGAGGCGATTCCGTCCATTTTGTCCTCAGTACTCCTCTATGAGGTGGATAAGAGTTTAAGTAAATAGACTACAGTGTTTTGCTGCGTTATTGATGTTTGAAACACTTTCCCCCCAGCTTCAGGCCTCTGTTCCAGAGCGAGATGTCAATGTGACCATCCTGAGATTTGGGGTCTCGGACTCGGACACGCCTTACACCTCAGCTTGGAGGGCGGTTTACTCAATCACTGAAGGCAACGATGATGGGAATTTCATAATAACAACGGACCCCGTGACTAATGAAGGACTTCTCACGGTGGTCAAGGTACATTCCAGAGACATCATGGGGGACAGGAGGGTGAAATCTGATCCTGATAAAAGTTCTATATAAATATATCCTGCAGATAGAAGTTATCTGCTGAATCTGACACCGTACAGAAAATGACCATTGAGGTCTTTTATTATTATTGATAATTACACATTGAGCTATTTATAATGCACAGCATAAAGCAGGACTATATCTCCAATAATGCTCCTATACCCATATTGTTGGCAAAGCATCATGGGAGATGTAAAGATGAGAACTGGGAAGATAGAAGTAAAATTAAGGTACGCATTGTCTCCCCCAGCAGGTGAGTTCTGTTTACTACAAGTATTAGGATTGATAATTACCTGTAGTCGGTTCATTAACCCTTTGCATGAAGGATAGATGCGTGCCAGTTGGGTTATTGACGACCATTGCCATTATTTACAAAGTATATGTATTCTGGGGGTTAACAGATTAAAGGGAATTAAGAATTACTGTTTTATAGTACAGATTGCATGAAACTGACCCCCAGTTAGACACATGAGTAAACACTGCGATATATCACCCTATTTATATATTGCCCCATGTCTGATTAATTCCCAACTGATTCCATAGGGGTTCCATTCAGAATGTGAATAAGATGCATGATGGTATGATAAATAGGAAAGATTTCAAGTTACTCAGAAAAGACAGCTTGCTTGTCTCTTATAACAATCTCCTGTAGCATTTGTAGTGTGGGATATTGTAGAAGATAAATAAAGAGACCTCTAACACATATAACCCATCCTTCAGTACCTGTACCGGGGCCATAACCAACCGAGCGAGGTCCAATTTTCCTCCGCGTTATCTTGATCTCTGGTTCTCCAGTCTGAACACAGCCTCCTATCTCATCATTCCTGGAGTATTTTTATCATCCGTTAGCTGTTTGTTTAATGATTGATGGCCATTGCAAGACATATAGAGTCATACAAGGGTTAATGGTACTCTATGTCTATCATGTTAATGCATAGCATCAGCAGACAAATAACGTTCATTTTCCTGCCAGAGTTTTCGGGACTGTATAATTCCCATCATAGAGACGATGTTTGGAGAGGAGCGGCAGTCTCCTGGAACGTTATTAAGAAATTAACATTTATGGTGTTTTTGTTTTTTTCCGATAGCCACTGGATTATGAGACAATCACCCAAAGCCAACTGTCCGTTCTGGTAGAAAACGAGGAACCCCATTTTAGCTGCAAAGTGATGGAGAAATCGAAGACCGGTTTATGGCAACTGGCGCCAGCCAAAGAAAGCAAGACAGGAAGGCCAGCTCTGCCAGCTAAATCAGTGGTGGTGGATATATTGGACGTAAACGACCCTCCGCTGTTTATTCCAGATAAAATAGCCATTTCTATGGAAGAACACTCAATGGAACCAGGAACAGTCCTGAAGAAAGTGGAAGCTAAAGATATGGATGTTGTAAAACCAAATAAAATCAAGTAAGTATCTGAAGATTTTCCTGTAACTCTGGGTAATCAGTCCATTTACAAATAATATATGTGTTATTTGTCAGATACACAATAGAGAATGACACTGCTGACTGGCTCACCATTGACAAAGACACTGGCGTAATTACAGTCAAAGGACCAATGGACAGAGAGTCTGAATATGTGGTTAACAGCAAGTACGTGGTGAAGATTTTGGCAGTAGATGATGGTAAGTTTGTTTACCATACAGGCTTCACATATATGTCAGGGACAATGAAGTCTAGAAAACTAGGCGTTGCAAAGGAGATACTGGGTCAAGAAATTATAGAATCATAAATGGCCTGTTAATTGCGATAGACCACTTTAATCTTAATTAATCTGTAATGAGAGAGTGATATGGGTCCCTAGTGTAGATTAGTCTCAGTGCAATAAACTCTCCCCCAGGTATAGCCCAAAATGTAAGGTAAGTGCTATATCGAGTGTCCTGTTGGGTTTTCAGATATTCTCAGTGTCGCTTTGATGTAAGACAATACACAGTAATTAATCCCAAATTGTCTGTTTTTGAAGGGATCCCCTCACTGACTGGGACTGCCAACCTGTTCGTTAACCTGAAGGATATCAATGATAACGCTCCCAGCTTAGAGAACCCCTTCATGGCCACGTGTTACAGTGAAGAGGAAAGCATTATCTCAGCCATGGTCAGAGACAAAGACTTGGAACCCTATGCTGGACCATACCACTTCGATGTCCTGGACAAAGACTACGAGACAAAGAAACTACAAGTCATGAACAATCATGGTACGGTCTAGGAGATTATAAAGAGTATATAGATAATACAGTAAAGGAAACACTGTGGATGCATATAGTCCAGTATAGGTGTCACTGTATATATGTATGTATATTTATATACACACACACTGCAGTATAAAGGTCCATTTACATATAAGAACAGTGCAGTATCGGTCTCATTGGACACACATATACTCATACTCTACTTCAAAGACCCATTGATTGTGTAACACAATGTACGGTTTTACCCCGGGGTGTCCGCTCTGCAGCAATGAACTTGTGAAATACTGGATAACAGCCCTCTCCCTACGAAACCTGCAGATCCGGTTATTGGAAGAATGCACTGACTGTCAATCCTTCTCCCCAACCCCTGGGGCCACACGGGGCCACTCCTTACCCAAATCTCTCATAAGTGACTCTCTTTAAGGTAAAGTGTCACATGAAAGGCATTCTGTACTCAGAGATTGATGGAATAATTAATAATCACTTTCATTTTCTAATAAACAAGATTTAGGGAGGAGTAGCAGCGAACAAAACATGACATATTGTTTGAAAACTAACAACACCAATGAGAATTGTAACTGCCTAGTACCCCAATAACACACTGTACATTTATGGAAAGAGGCCATTAAACCCTCACAGTGGGCCGTAGGTTCCTTTAACATGTGACTGTACATTCTATGTTCCCCTTTGTAGCCGATGTGCTCCAAATTCGGAAACTGAAAGATGCGTCTCCGGGCAATCATACTCTGCACCTGGAAATATACGACCGTCAGGGCTTCACCTCCCTCCAGAATCTCACGGTCTATGTGTGCGAATGTCTGGAAGGAAACGCCTGTGTAGAGAAAATTACTGGACCACCTGTAATGGGGGGAGGTGCCGTGATCCTACTACTTCTGGCTATGTTTGTATTTCTTGGTATGTGTCATTTTTACAATTCTCCGGTGAATAAACATTACTGTTTAATAGACATACCCAAATAAAACATGCATACACTTATTTATGCATTTTTTTAGTGGAGTTATATCTAAAAACAGCTTGTAAAAGCTACAGATCTCTTGGCAAGCCCTCCCCTTCTAAACCCGCCCAGACTTTCTGTGGCTGTCCAATCACAGACTTCCCAATGCCGTTCAATGAGAAGTCTTTGCAAGGCAGGTGCTCTGGGCAATTGCTGCCTCTTGAGTTTAGCTCCTTTGAGAAAAATAACCAGGAAGTAACAGGACCGGTTGTCTGACAGCCAGGGGGGTGTAACAAGGTTCCTTAATAAAAGTGCCAATTTCTACTGAAATCTAAACTTCATGTAAAACGAAAAAAGAGGACACATTCTTCACACATAAAGCACTTCAGCAAGCTATACTGCATGTTTGGTGTGTCTCTTTAAGACGCACATTTCTTTTACTTTAACCTGACTCTGACACCATAAGTTAAAGAATATTATTAACTGACCAGTATTCCCACCTCCATTAACCTGCTACGGAAGACTGACTCGTAAAATATCCCTGTACTCTATAGGTGTGGGTCGGGGGCAGAGGAGACTATTTTGTGTTTATCCTGAGCAATTACAACATACCAAACAGCGACTGGTCTAAAAGTGTTTCCCCGTGGGTGTGTCTTGCCAATATCTGCCAGGTGAATCTTTATCCTGAATAAATACACGAATCCAGCAAGACATATGATCTTTTAATTGGTTGTAATCCGACTACTTTAAAGCTATTACCGGATCCTTCTACGACATAATGAATATAATTAGCCTTCAGGTAATACGTTGATGGAACGATGAAAACCACAGATTATTGGGTTCACAATACAGCGTTCGGGGATTTCACCACGATGGTGATCAATAAGGATTTTATAAAATGAAAATGTATGCTCGCAAAAACAAGAAAAATCCCACTGAAAGATTTTTAGCACTACGCTAATTGCTCAATTACGATAGGTGTGCAAAATAATAGATAATGGATGGCATTAGTTTTATTTTAATGTAGTTATAGTGATAGTTTGTCACTTTGCATGATGTATCCATTCCGCATCCCTTCTCAGCTCTAACATTGTAAACATTATAGTTCCTGGTTGTGTTTCCCAATACCAGGTTACTATAGGTCACACTGTATATTGGAGATATATGTAGAAGATACACACTGCCATTGATTTCCCGAGTTAACAGACCACTCCTTGCTGAAGTGCTTTATGGGTAAGGAGTATTCTATTATAATTCTAGTTTGCATTCCTCGAGAAATCAGGTGAGGTTTGCTTCTACTTGAGCGCGCCTGCCTTCTCCCTATTCCTCCTCACAGACCTTATATCAGACCAGCCTTCTTCCTGAACACTGTTGCAGTGTGCGCATGCATGAATGGACAACTACAGAGGCTTCTCAATTAGAAGTCTCTGATTGGTTATTTCCCCGTGCAGAGACTGGAAGTATCTTCCAGGGTAGAAGGGGAGGGCTTGCAAATGATACAGCTACAAGAACTGCAGTGCTTGCAAGATCTTATTAGAATATACATGCATGTTTTTATTGGGAGTATATTCACTAAATAGTGATAACCCATTTTTGAAATGGAATATTCCTTTGAGGGTTTTTATACACTCCGTAAGATCAGAATCCAACTGGGTTTCCCTCGTTTTTTTCTGAAATATTAGATATTTTGATAAGGTTTATAAAATAATAATAAAGTGAGTCTTTTATTCTCTTCCTGTGAATTAGGGCTGAGCTTGTTAGTGTGCAAGATACACAAGGAGAAGGAGATGATTCCTGTGGAAAACGAACCGTTAAATTCCATTATTATATACAACGAAGAGGGAGGCAACAAGGATTACATAGTGAGTACACCACGCCTAGCCAAGAGGCTCATTGGAGATCGTACACAACCATGCTATCAGCTTCAATATAGAATAAATTTACGCAAAAATTGGTTCCGACCAGCTTGTCCAAATCAAATCTGTGGAGTCTAATTCATTGGAGAAAATCCAGGACAGATCGAATATAGATAAAAAGGTGTTGGTTTCAGATAAAGCAGTCCGAACTAATTTTTGTACAAGTCTACTATAGATATATATTTTATTACCCCAACTCAATATCAATATAGGAAGTTTTCACAAAACCCAATAATGACTTGGGAAAGGCTATTTGTACCGGCTGAAACGTTGTCATGTCGTGCTTATACCAATACAAAGTCTGCAATGTGATGGAATCTGTGTGCCTGGGCTCTCTCTATAGAAGAATGAGACATTCTTTTGAGGAATGGTAGGACTTCCCATTTAATAATGAATTTACTAAATGACAAAAATTCCATTTGACTATAAAACCTTTTCTGTAATCATTCTTAGAATTCAGCACCTTTGAACGAGAACTCGGCTGGACTCTTGTCCAATAACCAGGTAACAATAAATACTGACTGCAGATAGATCGGGAGATAACATGACCTTATCATAGGACTATCGATGCCACTTGCTGCATTGTAACATGCTATCTGTATTCTGTTGTTTAGGATACAGCAATGCTGAAAGCAAATATGGTCGGATCAGGGTTCCATAACCAGGTAACAGTGCAAAGTATTTCTTGTGTTTCCCATCAGTGAAATGGTCATCAGAACGCATTGCAACTTTATGAGTTATTTTATTAATATTTCTTTAACTGATTGTCTATATTGCAGTTTAATAATGTGTATACTCTTTTTTTTGTTTTTGTTTTAATAGGCGACAAAAGATGACATGGTTGGGAATTTTCCCGGATTCAGTAGCCAGTACTTACTCTCAGTAAGATATTTTGATTTTTTTTTTATGCCATTTGTTCAGATCCGTATCAATCTGTATGAATTCTGGGAGGGAGTACGAGAGAGGAGACAGTCAATGATCTAGATTAAGAACGCTGACCAGCAATTCACACATACAGATGTGCAATACACGTTGCCGGGGCTCAGATTAAAAGCATTTGCACATTTATTTTTTTTTCCAGCGAGATTCGCAAATCAGCAAACCGGTGAAATATTTGCAGGTTTCTGGCAGAAGCCGAGGAATAAATTTACATGCTTATGAGAAAAAGGTAGAACGCAAGCAAGTAAAAGCTGACTAATTAAAAATAAATGTTTTCACTTTTTACTGCAGGCAAATCAGCAGAGTTGACTGTTTTCTGCTGGAGCCCCTGGGACTGCGAACTGAACAAGAGGGACTCATTTTAAAAACTTAGCTAAAGTTTGAGCGAGAGAGAGATAAATCCACAGCAAGAACCCAAACAGGGAGAAGAGTTATAGTTACAGCCACCATCCAGAAAGGGACTGAGAGATAGACAAGAAACAGCACCTTTTGAAGATGGGCGGGCAGTAAAAAAAATAATTCCAGGGAAATCTGAGAGAAAGATATCAAATAGTTCATTATCAGCATAGTCGCCGTCTGTCACTGATACTAATGGGCGATCAGGGAGATAGAAAACTTAAACAGAGAGAAACGCGTAAGACAGAGAGGGAGAATAGACAGAGAGAGACCGAGAAAGAGACAGCGAGAAAGAGAGAGAAGGGGACAGACAGAGCAAGTCGATTTCTGTATATAAACCTTAATGAGAAATAAATGAGGAATTTATTTTAAAATGTTTCTGTGGGATGTTTGTGCACATTTTAATATTAATTTATTTGAGTTTTGCTGTCTTACCTGTCCAGGTTCTGTTAGAATTCATGCTCACAGTTTATTATAATTAGCAACATTATCCATGATTAAAACGACAAAAAGATATGTTTAATTAGTATAGCTTAATTACATTTCCCTTAATTATATTTCACCTTTTTATTCTTCCCGTAGTCATCGGACGCTGTTGGGCAAATTAAGCTGAAGTTGGCTCGTTCCCACAGCATACAGGTACGCAAATGGCACGTTTGGGGTTATTCAGTGACATTTTTACCATCAGAGATTGCATTATATCCTTTCTTGTATTTTTAGCCCCAAACATCATCCCATACAGCCTTCAATCGAGCTATGGCTAGACGGCACTCGGTGAGTCGGTTGGTAATGTTGTCATGGTTACTAAGCATTCGAGGTACACGGTACTTTGGGCGACCATGTTTAGTATGATCATAAAGAACTTGTTTGATTAATTATTATATCAGTGGCAAATAAAAGGAGCAGTTTAGAGATGTGCAGGTAAGACAAATTTGTTTAGTTTCGATTCGTTCATTTCTGAATTTTGGTTATTCTAAAAAAATGACAATAATTGATTTTGAAGGAAACTAAATTTCCGAAGGCCATTGTTCCCTAAGGGAATAGTACAATATAATCGTATACTCTATGTTGTAATGTAATAATTATAAAAAATGTGTTTTAATAAAGTAGTTTAATAACAAAAATATACTCCTTTCTGCAATTTGCAAATATTAAACCACCCTAAATAATTGTATTATTAAATATGAGATAGGAGTGGTGATGTTGGACTAGCCAACGTCAGAACCCAAAGGTAGGTTACAAGAGGTTGACCCCACAACAAGTAAATAACTACCAACTGAAGAAGTGAGATAGAAAAAAACAGTCACTCAAAAGTGAATGGGATTCACTCTCACTCTTTTTATCACATTGGGATGACTTTATAATTTGGACAAGAGGTTCTGTTGTATATATTTTGGTATTAGCATAATCAATTATACTATTTATTATTCCACATTATAGTTCCAGTACATGCTCAAATCACTGGTTTTCCAGTGATTCGACTTTGATTTTTTTGTCTATTTAGGGGTTAAGCCCCAGGACATCTCTGGAGTGTCCGTTTAGGTGTTTTTTGCAATCCACTGGAGGTCTGTCCCTTGAGGACTAAACCATTACCAGTGGATCCCATTATTATAATTTTTATGGTACTGGAGTTAAACTGTGGTCATTATAAATAGTGTCTCAATAGAGTATACCCTTTATTAAAAACAATAAACATTACTCAGCAATAGAATTCGACATTTTGCAATATACAAACTAATAAGATGATCCAAAAACAAACCAAAACATTGTTCATTTCCAAAATGTGCGACAATGCATCAATCTATAACAATATATCTGATTTTCCCTCAGAGTTACGATAGAACCCAAAGAATGAATACCTTGAATCGCAATGGCACCTATAGGAGCACAGTACGTTTTTGGTTGTTTTTTTCCGCCAATTGTCTCCATAAAGAGTTTGTGTTTTGTTCCTCTGTCTACCGAAACATCTTGTATCTTTAACTCATCTCGCATCATTAATTTATCTGTATGCACCCCCTTGTCTATCAAACTAAATTCTGTACAGCCCTGTCGTTTTAGAGCAGCATTATTCCAAACTCCGTCCTGCCCTTTCTTAGTTCTCAATTTAGAGGCATTCCCAGGGACCCTGCCTTTAGTTCTATGAATAAAATCTAAGGATTGCAAGATAATCGAAGGTCGCTAAGTACCATACTCCTAGTAGTCAGACAAACACTACATATCAGCCTGTGCACACCACACATGGGGCACTCAGTGACTCCACTGGCTGCGTATTTAAACCAGTTCTTCATGTCTGGTTGAATAATTACCAATCATGACCTGATTTTTGAATGTAGGGGTGATTAACGATAATAAAATGGCATTAGAAAGTAACAAGACTTGTTGATGACTAAGACTACAATTACCATTATTCTATTTGTCTAATAATTACAGATCAGTACACATCGTCGCGCATACCTGTCTGCAACCAATTCAATGAGCAGAAACTCTTCGAGAACCATGGAAACTATCCTGAATCAGGTAGAAATCAAACTCAAGTTTGTAGACCACTCTTCAAATAGCCACTTTCTCAAGTGATTACACTGTTGCTGATACTTCCAATAATTTTTGTTCCAGAAATTCAAGTCCTTTGCAGGTGACCTGGAAATATACAAGCCACGGACATTCGTTGAGGAAGGAGAACTGTCCAGAGCCTCTTCCCTGGATGCTATTACGATCAGGGGAAGTGTCGTCAGCTTGGACTGCCTTGAGAACCTGGGCTCCAAGTTTAACATTCTGGAAGATATTTGTGCCGAGCACATACTGAACAGACCCGTGGAGAAACCTTCAACATAACTGGGCCCAATAAATGGACAAATGATGCACTGATCTAAACCGTACAACCCCAAATGCAAAATAACCTGTGGACCAGAGATGCATCACACCCATTATTGTCCCTTCTTGGTTGAAGATTAATGAAACAGGATCAGGAAGCATTTTGTAGCAGGTGGCATGCATTCCCTGCTGGGGATTTAGAGTATTGCAGATTCCACTGGAAAACTTACTAACATAACTGTACGTGTAACCACATCACATGTACAGGAGAGGGCACTGTGTGTAGCTATATTACTTGTACAGTACAGGGGGCTGTATTACCTGTACAGGTGAGAACAATCTGTGTAGCTGTGTAGCTATATTACCTGTACAGGACAGGGGGCTGTGTGCAGCTATATTACCTGTACTGGTGTAGCAATCTGTATAGCTATATTACCTGTACAGTACAGGGGGCTGTGTGAAGCTATATTACCTGTACAGTACAGGGGGCTGTGTGCAGCTATATTACCTGTACAGGTGAGAGCAATCTGTGTAGCTATATTACCTTTACAGTACAGGGGGCTGTGTGTAGCTATATTACCTGTACAGGTGAGAGCAATCTGTGTAGCTATATTACCTGTACAGTACAGGGGACTGTGTGCAGCTATATTACATGTACAGTACAGAGGGGTGTGTGCAGCTATATTACCTGTACAGTACAGGGGGCTGTGTGCAGCTATATTAACTGTACAGATGAGAACAATCTGTGTAGCTACATTACCTGTACAGGTGAGAACAATCTGTGTAGCTATATTACCTGTACAGGTGAGAACAATCTGTGTAGCTATAGTATCTGTACAGGTGAGAGCAATCTGTGTAGCTATATTACCTGTACAGTACAGGGGGCTGTGTGCAGCTATATAACCTGTACAGGTGAGAACAATCTGTGTAGCTACATTACCTGTACAGGTGAGAACAATCTGTGTAGCTATATTACCTGTACAGTACAGGGGGCTGTGTGCAGCTATATTACCTGTACAGTTGAGAACAATCTGTGTAGCTATATTACATGTACAGTACAGGAGGCTGTGTGCAGCTATATTACCTGTACAGGTGAGAGCAATCTGTGTAGCTATATTATCTGTACAGGTGAGAACAATCTGTGTAGCTATATTACATGTACAGTACAGGAGGCTATGTGCAGCTATATTACCTGTACAGGTGAGAACAATCTGTGTAGCTACATTACCTGTACAGGTGAGAACAATCTGTGTAGCTATAGTATCTGTACAGGTGAGAGCAATCTGTGTAGCTATATTACCTGTACAGTACAGGGGGCTGTATGCAGCTATATTACCTGTACAGGAGAGAACAATCTGGGTAGCTATATTATCTGTACAGGTGAGAACAATCTGTGTAGCTATATTACATGTACAGTACAGGAGGCTGTGTGCAGCTATATTACCTGTACAGGTAAGAGCAATCTGTGTAGCTACATTACCTGTACAGGTGAGAACAATCTGTGCAACTATATTACCTGTACAGGTGAGAACAATCTGTGTAGCTACATTACCTGTACAGGTGAGAACAATCTGTGCAGCTATATTACCTGTACAGGTAAGAGCAATCTGTGTAGCTATATTATCTGTACAGGTGAGAACAATCTGTGTATCTATATTACATGTACAGTACAGGAGGCTATGTGCAGCTATATTACCTGTACAGGTGAGAACAATCTGTGTAGCTATATTATCTGTACAGGTGAGAGCAATCTGTGCAGCTATATTACCTGTACAGTACAGGGGACTGTGTGCAGCTATATTACCTGTACTGGTGAGAACAATCTGTGTAGCTATATTACCTGTACAGGTGAGAGCAATCTGTGTAGCTATATTACCTGTACAGTACAGGGGACTGTGTGCAGCTATATTACCTGTACAGGTGAGAACAATCTGTGTAGCTATATTATCTGTACAGGTGAGAGCAATCTGTGAAGCTATATTACCTGTACAGTACAGGGGACTGTGTGCAGCTATATTACCTGTACAGGTGAGAACAATCTGTGTAGCTATATTACCTGTACAGGTGAGAACAATCTGTGTAGCTATATTACCTGTATAGGAGAAGGTTCTGTTTTGTAGCTAATCACCTGTACAGGACAGAGGGTGAGATATTCCTGAATTTCCCTGTCTTGGAGTGATAGAACATACATTGTTGCCTAGCTCTTACAGCACTTTGTTGAATGGTTTGGTTTTGTATACAGTTAGAAAGTTACCATTCTTATCCCAGGTTACAGGGAGCGCTCAGCATACTATTAGTACTTGATGACTTTCATGCCCAGTTGATGCTGTACGCCATTATTCTTGAAGGTCATTAAAACATGGTCACCCTCTCATACCATAAGTACAGACAACTTTATCCCCAGCATTACTTGATGCCTGTTCAGTAATCACCAAAACCAGCACTGATTTTATTGCATTAAACTAGACTAGGCCATGTGATGTTAAGCAGTGCAATGTATGTGGGAACCAGCAGAGGGCGCTCGTGGTCTTCTTTTGAACAGAGAAATCAAAGCACAAAGCCCCGTTACTGAAAAAGCACCATCTCGCAGTAATAATCACACGTGTGGATGGTGATAGAGAGAGCCAAGTGTTTATCTAACCAGGCAAAACTGCTTCCTCACTGACCTTGCCATCAATGAACACTACCCGATACATTGTTACTCCCTCACTACTATCTCCCATCCATCAGTGGCCGGAATGTAGTACCCGATACATTGTTACTCCCTCAGTACTATCTCCCATCCATCAGTGGCCGGAATGCAGTATCCGATACATTATTACTCCTTCAGTACTAACTCCCATCCATCAGTGGCCGGAATGCAGTACCCGATACATTATTACTCCTTCAGTACTAACTCCCATCCATCAGTGGCCGGAATGCAGTACCCGATACATTGTTACTCCCTCAGTACTAACTCCCATCCATCAGTGGCCGGAATGCAGTACCCGATACATTGTTACTCCCTCAGTCCTAACTCCCATCCATCAGTGGCCGGAATGCAGTACCCGATACATTGTTACTCCCTCGGTCCTAACTCCCATCCATCAGTGGCCGGAATGCAGTACCCGATACATTGTTACTCCCTCGGTCCTAACTGCCATCCATCAGTGGCCGGAATGCAGTACCCGATACATTGTTACTCCCTCGGTACTAACTGCCATCCATCAGTGGCCGGAATGCAGTACCCGATACATTGTTACTCCCTCGGTACTAACTCCCATCCATCAGTGGCCGGAATGCAGTACCCGATACATTGTTACTCCCTCAGTACTATCTCCCATCCATCAGTGGCCGGAATGCAGTACCCAATACATTGTTACTCCCTCAGTACTAACTCCCATCCATCAGTGGCCGGAATGCAGTATCCGATACATTATTACTCCTTCAGTACTAACTCCCATCCATCAGTGGCCAGAATGCAGTACCAGATACATTGTTACTCCCTCAGTACTAACTCCCATCCATCAGTGGCCCGGATGCTGTACCCGATCCATTGTAACTCCCTCAGTACTAACTCCCATCCATCAGTGGCACGAATGCTGTACCCAATACATTGTTACTCCCTTGTTATTAGCTCCCCCAGATTAAAAGTCAGAATGCAGTAGCTGGTGCATTGTTACTCCCTCAGTACTACCTCCCCCCTATTAGAGGTTGGAATGCAGTAACCAATACATTGTTACTCCCTTGTTACTAGCCCCCCTCCATCAGAGGTCAGAATGCAGTACCTGGTGCACTGTTACTCCCTCAGTACTAGCTCCCCCCTATTAAAGGTTGGAATGCAGTACCCTATACATTGTTACTCCCTTGTTACTAGCTTCCCTCCATCAGAGCTCAGAATGCAGTACTTGGTGCATTGTTACTTCCTCAGTACTAGCCCCCTCCATCAGAGAACAGAGTGGAGTAACCAATATACTGTTACTCCCTTGTTACTAGCTTCCCTCCATCAGAGGTCATAATGCAGTACCTGGTGCATTGTTACTCCCTCAGTACTAGCTCCCCAAAACTGAGGTTGGAATGCAGTATTTGGTACATTGTTACTCCCTCAGTACTAGCCCCCACTTCCCCCATCAGAGGTCAGAATGCAGTACCTGGTACATTGTAACTCCCTCAGTACTACCCCTCCCGCCCATCAGAGGTCAGAATGCAGTACCTGGTACATTGTTACTCCCTCAGTACTCACTCCCCCCATCAGAGGACGGAAAGCAGTACCCTGAACATAGTTACTTCCTTGTTACTATCTCTCCCCATCAGAGGCCATACCTGGTACATTGTTACTCCCTCTAGTTTAGACGTGCTTCCAGTTCAGCTACGGTGGCCTCAAATTTGAAATTCACTAGGAACTCACTTTCGATTCTCACTTTAGTGAATAACCCTTTGTAATGTTAGCCTTATTTTCTAATGGCAATGTTTAACATTACAAGGCTAGAGTGGCAGGGGCACCACACCCAGACCACATTATTGAAATACTTCAATGAGGTATTTCACTGAGATACATCATTGATACTTCACTGAGCTACTTCACTGGGATACATTGTTGAGATACTTCACTGGGATACTTCATTGAGATACATCAATGATACTTCATTGAGATACATCAATGATACTTCACTGAGAGACGTCAGTGAGACTTCATTGAGATACTTCACTGAGATACTTCATTGATACGTCATTGGGATACTTAACTGCAGGGCCGGACTGGGGAAAAAATTTGGCCCGGGCATTTTTAATTACAGCGGCTCACTGAAAAGGGGGAGTGGCCAGATAGGGTGTGTTTTGTCATCCCCAATGACAAGCACGCCCCATCTCAAAGTGAGCATGTTGGTTCAATGCTCTTCCAGGGCATGGGAAAAGGGCCCTGTATTTGATCTGCACAGCGCAAGCAAATTTAATAACATGCTTGCATTGTGTTTGCTTGAAACTTGTCTCAGGGGTTTCCATAATTGGAATACTCACTGTATCCCATTTATGGAGACACTATGTGTTTGCTTAAATGGTATCTAGTGTGTTCATAGGGGATCCTGAGTGTGTATGTCAGAAATGTAGTGTGTGTGTAAGTGGTGCAGCGTCTGTGTGTAGGGGATCTAGTGTGTGTTTGAAGGACTCAGGAGTGCGTATAGGAGATCTAGTGAGTGTGTGAGTGGTGCAGTGTGTTTGGGGGGTGCTGTGTGTGAGGGGTGTAGTGTGCATTTGTGAGGAGTATAGTGTGTGTGGGAGGGTGCTGTGTGTGTGGGGGGTGCAGTGTGTGGAGGGTGCAGTAGTGTGTGTGGGGTGCAGTGTGTGTGTGTGTGAGGGCGCTGTGTGTATTTGAAGGTGCTGTGTGAGTGAGGGTGCTGTGTGTGTTGGGGTGCTGTGTGTGTTGGGGTGCTGTGTATGTGTTGGGGTGCTGTGTATGTGTTGGGGGTGATGTGTGTGTGTGTGCTAGGTTGCTGTGTGTGTTAGGGTGATGTGTCAATGTTAGGGTGCTGGTGTTAGGGTGCTGTATGAGTGCTAGGGTGCTGTGTGTATGTTAGGGTGCTGTGTGTGTGTGTTAGGGTGTTGTGTGTGTGTGTTAGGGTGATGTGTGTGTGTGTTAGGGTGATGTGTCAATGTTAGGGTGATATGTCAATGTTAGGGTGCTGTGTGTGTGTTAGAGTGATGTGTCTGTTAGGGTGCTGGTGTTAGGGTGCTGGTGTTAGGGTGCTGTGTGAGTGCTACGGTGCTGTGTGTGTGTTAGGGTGCTGTGTGAGTGCTACGGTGCTGTGTGTGTGTTAGGGTGCTGTGTCAATGTTAGGGTGCTGGTGTTAGGGTGCTGTGTGTGTGTTGGTGTGCTGTGTCAATGTTAGGGTGCTGGTGTTAGGATGCTGTGTGTGTGTTGGGGTGCTGTGTCAATGTTAGGGTGCTGGTGTTAGGGTGCTGTGTGTGTGTTGGGGTGCTGGTGTTAGGGTGCTGTGTGAGTGCTATGGTGCTGTGTGTGTGTTAGGGTGCTGTGTCAGTGTTAGGGTGCTGTGTGTGTGTTAGGGTGCTGGTGTTAGGGTGCTGTGTGTGTGTTGGCCAGGATTGTGTATTGGGGGAGGCAGGTAAATGGCAGTATTAATGTTTTATTAAAAAAATAAATACATTATATCCCCCCCCTCTATTCTTACCTGTAGCCTGGAAGGGGGGGGGAGGTCGTGCTCCTGCCAGCCATCCCTGGTGGTCCTCGTGGTAAGTGAACTCTAGCCCTTTGGGGCTAGAGTTCACTCTCGCGAGACCCGGCCGGTTGCCATAGCAACGGTCCGGATCTCGCGAGAGAAACCCGGCGGAGCTGCAAGTTAGAGCTCCGCCGGGTCCTCTCTCCTGGCGGCTGTCTCCCTCCCTCTCTCCCCGCCGGCGGCCGCGTTTGAGCGCATGTGGGCCGGTGAGGGAGATCTTTGACCTCCCCACCGGCCCTCCATGGCAAACAGCGGGGCCGGCGCTCGGATAGTGCCGGCCCTGCATAGACCGGCAGGGGAGATCCTGGGACCTCCCCTGTCGGCCACCGCGGCCCACCGGGCATGTGCCCGATGGCCAGTCCGGGCCTGCTTAACTGAGATACTTCAATGATACTTATTGAGATACTTCACTGGGGAACATCATTGAGAGACATCATTGAGACTTCACTGAGATACTTAATTGGTATACTTAATTGGGATACATCGTTGAGATACTTCACTGGGGTACTTCATTGAGATACATCATTTATACTTCAGTGAGATACATCACTGAAATACTTCATTGGGATACTTCATTGAGATACACAATTGATACTTCACTGAGATACTTCATTGGGATACTTCACTGGGATACTTCATTGACATACATCATTGATACTTCACTGAGATACTTCACTGAGATACTTCAATGATACGTCATTGGGATACTTCATTGAGATACTTCACTGAAGAACATCATTGAGACTTCATTGAGAGATGTCATTGAGACTTCACTGAGATACTTCGTTAATACGTCATTGAGATACATTATTGATACTTCACTGAACTACTTCATTGGGATACATCATCGAGATACTTCACTGAGATACATCACTGAGATACTTCATTAATACTGCATTGGGATACTTCATTGATACTTCGCTGAGATACGTCACTAAGATACTTCACTGAGCTACTTCATTGAGATACATCATTGATACTTCACAGAGATACTACATTGGGATACTTCATTAATACTTAATTGGGATACGTCATTGATACTTCACTAAGGTACTTCACTGAGCTACTTCATTGAGATACATCATTGATACTTCACTGGGATACTGCATTAATAATTCATTGGGATATTTCATTGAGATACTTAACTGAGATACTTCATTGAGAGACGTCATTGATACTTCTCTGAGATACGCCATTGAGATATTTCATTGAGATGAAGCAGTCTAGGTGCCTATAGAGTCTATTCAACAGTTGTCAAGCTACCAGGAGCCTTTGCGCACTTTGTTTTACACAATTTTGCTCACATTTTAATATTTCATCATAAAATAATTGGGAAATAAGAAGCGTAGAGAGAACAAGAGAGCTGCAGAAATACAAACTGCAGATAAACAAAACACAGTACACAGAATTAATGTATAAACTCAGCTGGAATATTCTCAGTAGATTTAGGGCACCTTTAGTTAATTGTTAATAGGATATATTTTTGTTTGTCAACCCAGTGAGCAGTTCCTTGATATTTCTCGCTGTCAATTATACTCGAAAAAGCTCTGATTAAAAAAAAGAAAGGTGACTGAAATAAAATACATTAAAGGATCACTATAGTGTCAGGAAAACAAACTCGTTTTCATGACACTATTTAATCTTTAGGGTCCCCCCACCTGCTGGGCTGAAGGGGCTAAAACCCCTTCAGCCACTTACCTTTTTTCAGTGCCAGGCTCCCTCGGCGCTGGTGACCTCTCCTCACCCTCCGACGTCAGCTCCCGAGTGGAGCTGAATGCTCATGTGCGGCAAGAGCCACGCGCGCATTAAAAACGCCTATAGGAAAGCATTTCTCAATGGCTCTCCGGAATATAAGATAACACAGGGATAAACGTAAATAAAAGGCAAAACCAAAGAAAACGACAGAGGAAACAGAGGTCAGGGAGATGGAGAGTCCACAACATCCGAGAAATGTTAAATCAGGTCCGTACGACCAGGGGCCAGGAATCCAGAGGCCACCGTAGCAATATCCCAGCCAGCCCTAATTATATGGAAATGTTCTGTAAATATTCTCTCTCTGCCAGCTTATCACACCGCAGCACCTCGCTGCCAGCCATTCATTGCTCTCCTATTCCCAATATGACACCAGTTTATTTACAGGACGAGCTGGGTCTGGGAGATAAAACTTCACAAGATGTAAATTACCGCTAATGTGGGAGAGAGTGTTAATGCTAAATAGAATTAGAGAGATGGATGGCTTTATATCTGCTCAGCTGTTGAGGAGACAGAAATATCAATAGGGGCAAATTCTTCACAAATAATGTGCAAACGGGGTCCAGGGGCTGACAGGCGGTTACCGCTCATCGTCGTATAACTTCAGTCTGTGAATATTGTGTGTGTTTGTGCGTGTGCATCTGACGAATATAACTGTAAAAGACCAATGCTTCTGTTACTGTTGTGTCATCATGTTAGGTCTATGTTGTCTCTTGGTTGGCCAAAGATGCCAGGGACCCTAGCCATGTTCCCTACTGCTTTATGTACAATGCATAATTCGAAAGATAAAGCAGGCTCTGCAGGATTACATTGTGGCACAGTAAATGGTTGATGGTTTACCCCCTGCAGTCCAGGCACATCCTCTGTACCCAATTAGGGAGGCAGAGTGGGGTCTGATAATTAGATTCATTGTCGTCGTCCCCCCCTCTGTTTGGAATTACCTGTACATGAAGTCTTCTGTTAATTAGAGTTTGATATTTTTAATAACATTACCTGTTGTCTTTTGTACCTGTAATTGAATTACCTGGTTTAAACTAGGCTCTCTATTGTTTGAATTTACCATGTTATAATTGATTGGGCTTTTCACATCCCTGATTGGTGACTGTTGTTTATGTGTTATTTGGAGAACTGCTATATATTATGTCTATGAACCAGAATAAAGGTGTTTGTGATTTACCAAGAAGGAAGTTGTGTGTCTCTTGGAGTATCCAGGTATATTACTGTTTGTTGTCCACTATAGAGTAGTTACTCATAGAGAATTGCTAGTGGACTCGTTAGATAAAATATCCTATATGAACCGGAGCTATAAGTGCAGTATATTTGGTGGATACACAACAATGTACCGGGTCTTAGTGCTTAGTATAGTGGTTAGCTGTGCATGTTAGTGAAAGAAACCCATGGACGATAACGTGTCTGAACTGCTACACCTTCTGTAGCAGAGACCCCAGGGTCGTATTCTCACAATGCATGTGTGTAAAGAGCACTGCGTAGTCTATTTACCCCGTGTACCTCGTCGCTCTTCACCACCAGCAACATGAACCAGCAACATGAACAAAGAGAATGGCACCTTTAAGTCATGTATTTATAACGATGATATGTCTAGATTACCTGGTGTCAGCAGATGGGGGAGCCATTAATTCTAGTCCCTGTGGGCACTGTACTGTTCTAGCAGGAGAAATGAATTTCTGAAATGCAAGAATTTCCCGGGGGCAGAGTTACCCCATTTCCATGTAAGGACTATTCAGAATGTAAAAGAACCTTGTTGTCTAAAAAGGAAGAACATGTTGGAATAGGTGGCACACATCATACAAATACTTGTATGGCAAAGGGAAGTCTAATTTCTTCCATGACATATTTAAATGATGAGGTGGGACTATAGCTGCAGCACGTTTTAAAGTTTGTTGCTGTTAAAACCATGAAAACTAGGCCAAGATGGCTACCTGCAGTAAGGCAAATAGCTAGAAGACTGATGTTTTAATATTAAAGCTCTTTTTTTCAGAATGTAACAGGAAATAAAAACCCTTTCCTGCAGGATGACTAAAAAATGAACAAACTCTGCATTCCAGCTCAGTGTGTGTCCACGCGGTTTTGGTTCATGTTTTGGGATCGATGAAGAGATGAAAGCTCTGGCCTCGCACCCAGCATGCTGCTTTTTTGACCTGTTTTAGTCGCCATCGGTCATGGATGTAAAACTGACACAAACTCTAAGCCAAACGCACATTTTTCCCCTGGATCCCGAGTGGGGAAGGATCAGCATTTAATGAGCTTTTTACAGTTGCTGTGCGCTCCGAGGCTTGTCCGAAAGAATTAGATTAAAATCATTGCTCGGTTTCCCTGCTTATTGAGAAGATGGCCTACACGATTCTGGTGTGAAAAGCTCGGAGATTAGAAAGGACACGGCTACCGTCTCTTACAAATCCACTTGGAGACGTTGACTAGAGGTGCGGCATGTGAGAAATTGCTTTATATCAATGAGAAATAGTCTTACTGAAAGTCAGACAATGGAAGGACGGAATTAGAAATCTGAGCTCCAAGGTTCTATAAATTCTATTTTTATCTCCAGTAATGTATTCTATTATACCTCATTATTTAATAACCATAACTAATGTTTATTTTATTTTATTTGCAGTAAACACTGGAAACAAGATTAGTAGTGGGAACCCTTCGCCCACCATTCCACAATCACTTGAATGATAATTATAGATACAGGGTAATAAATGGGAAAAAGGAGACTCAGGCAGGTAATCAGTATACCATAAAAGTAAGACTCAGTTAGGTAATCGGTATACCATAAAAGGGAGGTTCAGGCAGGTAGTTGGTATACCATAAAAGGGAGACTCGGGCGAGCAGTCGGTATACCATAAAAGGGAGACTTGGACAGGTAGTCGGTATACCATAAAAGGGAGACTCGGACAGGTAGTCGGTATACCATAAAAGGAAGACTCGGACAGGTAGTCGGTATACCAAAAAAGGAAGGCTTAGGCAGATAGCTGATATACCATGGACGGTAGACTCAGGGTGGTAGCCGGATTACCATAAAAGGGAGACTTAGACAGGTCGCCGGTATACCATAAAAGGAAGACTCGCACAAGTAGTTGGTATACCATAATAGGAAGACTCAGGCTGGTAGCCGGATTACCATAAAAGGAAGACCCGGACAGGTAGTTGGTATACCATAAAAGGGAGACTTAGACAGGTCGCCGGTATACCATAAAAGGAAGACTTGCACAAGTAGTTGGTATACCATAATAGGAAGACTCAGGCTGGTAGCCGGATTACCATAAAAGGAAGACTTGGACAGGTGTAAGAAACCCTGGTATCTCCTATACCCGTTCGTCAGTTTCCTCCCTCGGGAAATAAAGTAAGCGATTCTCCATACGAAATAACAGCTTCCCAAGTAGATTCTCCCAGTAAAGCAGAGAGGTACCCAAACATCAGCTGAAGTCTAGATGAATGGTGTAACAGAACTGAAGTTTAATGATGCCACACTGGATTTTATGCAAGTCCCCATGCAAGGGGACCTCCCATAGGAACATAAATCATACAGCCAATCATAATACAGGGAAACACTGGGATACTCCCAGTACACACATGCAATCCCCTCCTCTCTACCTGGAGATAATTGAGGCTGATAAAGTAATAACTTAATTATCTCCAGGCAGTAAAATTAAAATTTCCCCAAACTTTGAAACGCACCCTAAAACATATAATATCCCCACAAAAGTCTGATAGCCCTGATCTGGGTGACCAACATATCCAAAAATCACCCAGATCAGTTCAGGGGTTTTAGAATTCCATGGACTTCTTAGGTGACCGGCCGCACACGAGGCTCCTGCCCAAAACAGTTCCACAAGTTTTGGTGGTTTGGCCGGTCTAATTCGGAAAGTCAAGAAAACCGAATAAATGCACGAACGTCTCCCCCTGGCTCATAGTAGCGATTGTTCCCCTTGCACAGTTTTGACTGGTATTCGTGAAGTTGAGTGTCCGATTTTAGTTCCAGACACTCGATGACCAAGTCCCGCTACCTCCTTTCGTGAAAACAAGATGGCCGCTGTTTTCTCGACCACATGTCGTTCGGCTATACGAACGGCGGCCACACAGGGGGAGCACTTAAATGACTGTTCTCTTTGAAGTTAATGAGCCAAGGGGTGGTCGGTGTTCGGTAGTTACAGCTACTGAATGGAATTACATGAAATAAACAAAATAACTTGGTGATTTCTTCACAACAGGTAGTTGGTATACCATAAAAGGGAGACTCAGGCTGGTAGCTGGATTACCATAAAAGGAAGACTCGGACAAGTAGTTGGTATACCATAAAAGGGAGACTCAAGCAAGCAGCTGCCAGACTAGAAAAGGTAAGACAAGTATGAATATTCTGGCAGCTCACACAATCCTTCATATGAACGGCAGAGCTATTCAATAATATCTGAAACATCAGGGCTTCAAGGTGATGAAAGTTAATATCAAATTTAGAATGGATGTGGAACCGCCATGGCTTTTATAATATTCGTACTGATTTCCATGTAACCGGTAACACAGATCCACAATGTTTTAATTTTATACATCCGGACAACAGCAAGGTTCCATTACAGTGTCAATTACTCCTGCATTTCTTGATGTATAACTTCTAACATAGGGACCTAAACACCGATATAAATATAAAATACGATCCAGCCATTTTAATTACCTTTAGACACTGCGCACCCACTGCCAACGCCGTTTTATAGGTACACGACCTGTTCAAACAAAGCTATGACGGTATGACTGCTGGGACGCTGTGCAATAATACTTTTTATGAAATAATTATGAACGGCCACTTATCCAGCATTAGTTAAGTTCCTGTTTATACAAAGCATGACATGTCCCTATTATAACAGAAATAGTTTATTTACATCTTGTGAAAAACTGCGGCTCAACAAATTCTCGTCTGCAGAGAAAGCAACCTGCAATTATTCTCACTAAAATATTCTAAAATCATTTTATTTTCTTAAATCCGAGGATTTTAAATGCTCGTATGAAAAGCAGAGGTGTCAGAAGAGTTGTTTTAAGCCAGGTATGCTGAATGTGTAATCCAATAATAGATGCCATTTTTGTTTGTTTTTTTACAATTCTTTATTTTTGTTGTGCATGAAGGTATAACATAATGACCTGCAATGCCCCAACAGCACACACAGGTACAAGGTAAAACCCATCATAACAGTTGGTCAGCATTATAGAACACTGCACAATTTAAAGGTTATCATATTCAAGTTAAGCATACATGTCTAACCGATATACTGTAGAGGAACATGGAAAAAAAGACGTGTGTTAGACAGGATACGTTGTGTTGTCACTTACAAGGGTACACGTAACACGAGAACTATAAAATGTAATTTAAATGTGGTCTATATTCTAAATTTCATATAGTCCTCATCCAAAGCCCCGATCCTGTGATAGAGACTGTCCCTTTAAATCTTTTTATCTGAAAGGGGAACTACCACTGAGTTTTATGCCTATTTAAACAAATATGTGTTTATGAGATCTGAAAAACAAAATGGAATGTAGCAATTCATTTCCCTTTATACTTCATCTCAGCTACCTATCAATCATTGTTATAAGCTCCGCCCTTTACACCTGGCAGTCAGTGTAGAGAGAGCCACCGCCATCTTAGCTCCCTGTCAATCATTGTTATAAGCTCCACCCTTTACACCTGGCAGTCAGTATAGAGAGAGCCGCCTCCATCTTAGCTCCCTGTCAGTCATTGTTATAAGCTCCGCCCTTTACACCTGGCAGTCAGTGTAGAGAGAGCATGGGGATAGGAGGAGACACAGAAACACTGGGAGAGGTTTATCAAAGTGTTGCAGACAGTTTTGTCTTTTTTTATAGTGTGTTTTTGTGGGGTGGTTTGTGTGTAATTTATTAAATCTGTTAATCTGTTTATTTTTTTTGCAACGTGTAATTTTAGAAAGTACCCATTTTTAAAAAAACTTCCTGTTACTTTTCTCAAAAAATTTTCTGTTTCTAAAATGGGCAGTCTTTTGTAAAATGCATATTTCCGTCAAGAAAAAAAATAAAGGGGATTTAGGCAAAAGGAAAGTCAGCACTTTTTAGACCATTTTTTAAAACAATTTAACCCCTTCAGGACGGAGTCAATAGTGCACGTTCTGATCAAAACAAAACATAAACAAAAACTGGAATTTGCGCTATATGTCTGTTCAACCGTAATTCACCGCTGTCACATTAAGTGCTCCCACACTTATTATATATCATTTTGTTCAGGAGAAACAGGGCTTTAATTTATCATTAACTATTCATATATGGAACATAATTTATTATGAATACAATTAGAAAAATGTGAGAAAATAAGATTTTTTTTAAAATTTGTATTTCTGTCTGACATTTTAGCTGTGAATGTCATAATACTGTCAGGTTTTACTGCAAAAAAATGCCCATATTTGTAATCAGCGATGTCTCACGAGTACAACAGTACCCCCCATTAACAGGTTTTATGGTGTTTTGGACAGTTACAGGGTCAAATATAGAATGTTCCATTTTTAAATTGAAATTTGCCAGATTAGTAATGTTACTTTTGAGACGGTGTGGTAGCCCAGGAATTAGAATTACCCCCATAATGGCATACCATTTGAAAAAGTAGACAACCCAAGGTATTGAAAGTGGGGTATGTTTAGTCTTTTTTAGTAGCAACTGGCCAAAGTTAACGTTCATATTTGGTTTTGTGTGAAAAAAGCAAAAAACTAATATTTGGCCAGTGTTTCTGACTAAGTGGCTACTAAGAAAGACTGGACATACCCCACTTGCAATACCTTAGGTTGTCTACTTTTGCAAATGGTATGCCATCATGGGGGTAATTCTCATTTCTGGGCTACCATCCGCTCTCAAAGGCAACATAACCAATCTGGCAAATTTCAATGTCAAAAAAATGAAATGCAAGCCTTATTTGTGACTCTCTAACTTTCCAAAACACCATAAAACCTATACATGAGGGGTACTGTTATTCTCGGGAGACTTCACTAAACACAAATATTAGTGTTTTAAAACAGTAAAACATATTACAACAATAATATAGTCCATAAAAGTGCCGTTCATTTGTAAAAAAAATGCAAAAAACATCACTTTTACTTAAAATATCATCGTTGTAATACAATTTATCATTTTGAAACACTAATATTTGAGTTCAGCGAAGTCTCCCGAGTAAAACAGTACCCCCTATGTATAGGTTTTATGGTGTCTTGGAGAGTTACAGGGTCAAATATAGTGCTTGCGAATTAAATTCTCTGCACTTTCTCCCTGTGTTGTCAGGCATGTCAATCACATTTTAATTAATCAAATCACATAATTATGTTAAAAGATAACTTAAATATACACGTAGAATTTTAATATATATGCATTTATAGGTATTTAAATTCTACGTGTATACTAATGTAATCTTTTATGTAATTTTATGTATTTATCTATATATATATATATATATATATATATATTTATGATTATTTGTATTTTATATATAGATAGATATATATAGAATGTTATTCTAAGTGTATTTTGTTACCAATATATATATATATATATATATATATATATATATATTAATAACAAAATACAGTTAGAATGAAATTACATATGAATATATAATTTAAATTAAATTTTGTTTCAATATTTTATTTATTTTATTATTTTATTTTTTGTATTTATTATTGTAAATATACGTATATATATAATATGTGTGGCGAAACCAACTTCGCCACTGTACACTGGAGAAGCCTGGTTGCTCGCATGCTGCCTTTGGACTATGGCCCCATGTTAAAAGACATCTTTTTTCCCTGCAGAAAAGACTTATTCGTGCTTTTCTGACGGGTGTTCGGTAGATTTGTTTGAGTGTGTTGTGCCCCAGATAGGAATCCCATGGAGCCCATTCGCATGAAACTGACTGTGTAAAGACTTTGGCTCCATGGCATTTAAACTGTATTCGTGTGGTCTGAGCGCCATTCGCTTAATAATGTGCGCTCAGACCTGAGCTATCTGGGGATATGTAGAACGTATATGTTTTATGTACTGAATGTAACTGTAGGTAATTTTATGTCTTTTACTGTTTGTTTTCTGCCATGTGGTTAATGGAGTTTTGCCTCTGTCTTTGGAGATAATTGAATTACTTCTCAATTATCTCCAGAGCAGAGAGGAGGGATTGTGATGCATTGTGGGATGGTTGAAATGTGTAAGTCTGTGATTAGTCCTTTTACCCTTTGTGTCCCAGTCTCCCATTTGGTCCCCTAGGGGAGTGTCCACCAGGTGGGAGACCTGCATAAAAGCCGGGCAGTTAGCCCCAGTAAATGAGTTCCTGCTTAACTCTCAAAGTGAAGTGTCGTCTCATTATTGGGGGAATTTACTGTATGCTGTTAGAGACTGATTGCCAGGAGTGTAAGCCGCTTGGGGGCTTTTCCTGTTCGTCTGCTAGCAGCTATTCGTGTGTCTCCAGTTCGGGAGTTGGTGAATTCGTGGGTTTGCAGTTCAGGAGATTGGCGCTTGCAGTAGCTGTCAGTGCAGCTGAAAAAGGGGAATATCTCTTTTGGGCAAAACGGTCCGTTACAATATGTGTATATATCTATTATATATATATATAATATATATACATATGTAACGTCATTCTAAGTGTATTTTAATACTAATATATGTACTTATATTAATATTAAAATACAGTTTGAGAGCGATCACATGGCCCCCGGGGGCCTCGTTTGCAGGGGAGGGCTGCCTGGGCTGTCAGGTAGCCCTCCAGAAGAGGATCGCGGCAGAGGTAAGTCCACTGGACCTCCAGGGGCTGCAAGCCGTTACGGCGTTCTATGCCGCCGCAACGGCTTTAAAGCCCTTTTAATGCGGGACGGCATAGAACGCCGTAATGGCGTTAAGGGGTTAATAAACAACAAACCAGAGACCAAAATACAAAAAACGCTTCTCAGAACACTTCGATAAATCTCATCCTGCGTTTCTATATAGCCTCCTCCTTCACAATGCGCACATTAGGGTCCCCCCATTGCTGATGTTGGAATAGGCAGATGTACAATTTAAAAGGGTTATTAAACCTCTTATTTGCCAGGAGAGACAGAGGGACAGTCTTCCTTTAATTCAATGGTGTACATTCCAGGAAAGGGACACTTTGTCTGTAGTAAAATCTGTTTATATCCCAATAGAAGGCTAGTCATTATTGCCTAACTACTTACTGTAATGACACTCTGCGTTTTACAGCTTATTACAGAGGTAATTAGGCCACTCTGCGTTACCGTTGATCCTGCAGAGAGGGCGTTTCATTCAAATTAGTAGTTTTAGTTAATTTGGAGACAGGATAGCATTTGTCTGTTGCTGGGAAACTCAGTAATACTGCTTGCCATAACGAAAAATTTAAACTTTCAGGGCATTTACCGATATACAATACATATATATAATATTTTTCGTATGACGAGAGAAAGATCACTTTGATTTTGTAGCAACCGGGGCGAAGAAATGTCACATTACCTTTCATGGTGGCTCCCATAATTTATTCTCTCAATTTTCCAAAAAAAACAGCAAGTAAAGTTAAAGGGACACTGTAGGCACACAGATCACTTCAGTGGTCTGGGTGCAATGTCCCATAACCCTGAAGTGGTAATTATCGCTGTTTCTTAGAAACTGCAATAATTACCTATGAGGGTGAACGTCTCCTCTAATGGCCTTTGATCCATTATCTAAAGCTGGACGTCCTCACACGCTGCATGAGGACCTCCAGCATCCGATTTTTCCTCATAGGAAAGCATTGATGTTGGCGGGGGAGGAGAGTGAGCGGAGTCTGACCCAGCGCTGAGGGACATTGGCGCTGGATTCCGGTAAGGTTTTAACCCCTTCAGCGCCGCGGGAGGGGGGCACTGTAGGATTCTATAGTGCCAGGAAAACGGGTTTGTTTTCCTGGCACTATAGAATCCCTTTAACATCTATCAATGCCACAAGATGGAGATATTTACACATAATTCACCAAATATTGACATGTTATTGCAAGAATTGGACTGAATGGCAGATTGCCACCAAGTAATCGACTCCAGACATGTTTTTTTTTAGTGACCATCTGTTGTCCTTTAAATTAGACTTAGCAATTCATTTTGGGTCGAACAGAAATTTGGGGCAATCAGATGATCAACCGAATACCCGAACTCCGAGCCAAAATGTACCCGAATCACGTACTAAACCTGCCGCCATCTTTGTACATGCGCAGAGTTTTGGAAAACTGCAGTCTCCAAAATCATTTTAAAACTTATTTTTAAAAGGTCACACGTACATGGGTATTTTAGCAATTTCCATTACTCTTGCCAGTGTCCTTTGAATTTGGGACGTGCGTTTGGACACAATTTGCTTTATATCAGGCTGTCTAATCAATGGGCAATAAGACTTCAAAGGGCGACTCACTAAATCATAAGTCTCTTCCCCTTCTGTCTTGCCTTTACATCCTGTACATCAGTCCTTACACAACACTTGCAGGCACCTTTCTAGTTAACAAAAGGACATAAAACCCTTGAAAAGTTCAGAAAATTTACAAGAAATATTATTTAATTTTTAATTACCTCCAATTTATTTCTGTCTTCAGAAGGGAATTCTAGAGTTCTGTTCAGGACCTGAGGGACAGCTGCTTGTCATATTCAGACTGCGCATTGTTATATTCACCCCTATCTCGCCATTTCCCTACACGCAGAGCTGCTGCGCTTCTCTGAATTTCTGATCGAATGGTAGGCGTAGACACAGTAGATTTAATTGGGATCTGTGGTCATCCTGCGAGCTTGCACCCCATACACTAGCTGTGACGGATGGCACTTGGGTATTTCAGAATAACTCAGACAGAAAGAGTTATTGGTTCTGCAGCCAAATGCACAAATATAAAGATCACGATCATGTTTCAACGGGAAGCAAACAGCTTTCTCCCTCCGAAAAAAAAAACCAACAACAACACATTTCTCTACTTTCTTCTTTGTTGTCAGAGACAAAGCTGTATGTATTTTTTCCCTGAAGAACTTTGCAAACATTTGCAAGATGTCAGGGATAATTAGACAAAGTGGAGATGCAAAGCTTGCGCAAAGAGCGTGTGTTTTGTAAAGATCAAAAACCGTCTGTTACCAACGTGTAAAAAATAGCAATGAAAGGATTCAAAAACCAAATGAAATAAACTGCAGCGCCCCAGACTACTGGCTGAAAACATACAAGTAACGTACTGGACGTGTGTGAATGTATGGTCAGAATTTATGTCATGCCGGCAGATGAATCGATACGGGCGGCAGGGTAGGATGATCCCTATGCTGTCAGAATCGTCTGCTACGGCGGTTTGTTGGCATGTTTCTAGTGCGGTATACAGTGTAACGCATCCTACAATTGCTGGCAAGCAGAAAGCACTTTAGTCATTTTTGAATTTAACAGGGTTATTTCCTAAAGTGAGAATTGTTGGCAATTTAAAGTGAATTCAAAATTAAAGCAGAAATAGCTAAACTGGAAAAATTCTCAGATTCAACTATGCTTTCAGTTCCGTTATTTGACCTTAAATTTAAAATTCCTATTGCTTTACCGGCAATAATGAATAATGAATAACCCATCAACTGCACTGAAAAGAGCGGTTTTCCTTTTACGCAGGGATATTCACAAAAGGATAAATTGTTTGGAATTCAAAGTGAACTTAAACATGTATTCCCGTCACTATACAGTATCTCACAAAAAGTGAGTACACCCCTCACATTTTTGTAAATATTTTATTATATCTTTTCATGTGACAACACTGAAGAAATGACACTCTGCTACAATGTAAAGTAGTAGTACGTGTACAGCCTGTATATTGGTGTAAATTTCCTGTCCTCTCAAAGTAACAACCGCCATTAATGTCTAAACCGTTGGCAACAAAAGTGGGTACACCCCTCAGTGTCCAAATTGGGCCCAAAGTGCCAATATTTTGTGTGGCCACCATTATTGCCTCATGGCCATGGAGTTCACCAGAGCTTCACAGGTTGCCACTGGAGTCCTCTTCCACTCCTCCATGACTACATCACGGAGCTGGTGGATGTTAGAGACCTTGCGCTCCCCCACCTCCCGTTTGGGAATGCCCCACAGATGCTCAATAGGGTTTAGGTCTGGAGACATGCTTGGGCAGTCCATCACCTTTACCTTCAGCTTCTTTAGCAAGGCAGTGGTCGTCTGGAAGGTGTTTTTGGGGTCGTTATCATGTTGTAATACCGGCCTGTGGCCCTGTCTCTGAAGGGAGGGGATCATGCTCTGCGTCAGTATGTCACAGTACATGTTGGCATTCATGTTTCCCTCAATGAACTGTAGTTCCCCAGTGCCGGCAGCAGTCATGCAGGCCCAGACCATGATACTCCCACCACCTTGCTTAACTGTAGGCCAGACACACTTGTCTTTGTACTCCTCACCTGGTTGCTGCCACACACGCTTGACACCATCTGAACCAAATAAGTTGATCTTAGTCTCATCGGACCACAGGACATGGTTCCAGTAATCCATGTCCTTAGTCTGCTTGTCTTCAGCAAACTGTTTGCGGGCTTTCTTTAGAAAAGGCTTCCTTCTGGGACGACAGCCATGCAGACCAATTTGATGCAGTGTGCGGCGTATGGTCTGACAGGCTGACCCCCCACCCCTTCAACACCTGCAACAATGCTGCTAGCACTTGCTAGCATACGTCTATTTCCCAAAAACAACCTCTGGATATGACGCTGAGCACGTGCACTCAACGTCTTTGGTCGACCATGGCGAGGCCTGTTCTGAGTGGAACCTGTCTTGTGAAACCGCTGTATGGCCTTGCCCACCGTGCTGCAGCTCAGTTTCAGGGTCTTGGCAATCTTCTTATAACCTAGGCCATCTTAATGTAGAGCAACAATTCTTTTTTTCAGATCCTCAGAGAGTTCTTTGCCATGATGTGCCATGTTGAACTTCCAGTGACCAATATGAGAGAGTGTGAGAGCGATAACACCAAATGTAACATTTTGTGAGATACTATAGTTATAAATACACATTTTAGTCCCGGCCCCCCTGTCAGCGAACTGAAAGATGTATACACTCACCTTTCTTCCAGCACGGCTGGCCCTGCCCACGCTCCACCCCTTTGGCTAAGATCATTAAACTTGTGCAGCACTGACCCAGGATGCACCTCTAGTGGCCATCTGAGTGACTGCACCTAGAGGTGTTACAGGGTTCTCTGAAAATGCAGTGTTTACATTGAAAAGCCGGTAGAGACAGGCTATAGAACCCATAAAAACTTCATTAAACTGTTGTTTTAGTGTCTCTTTAAAAATTTAAGGCCATATAGCTGAACTAAAATATAGCTAAATTAGAGAGTTTTTCTCATAATCTTAACGTAACTTTCAAAAATTACCCTGACAATTTTCAACTAATGGCCAATCATGTCATAATCTTCCATCTTCATTAGTTAAGGTATTTAGTTGCTCAGCTAGCCGTTGGTGACATCATACTTTCTGTTTCCACTAACAGAATGACATCATCTAGTCACAGTGTGTCACTGGTAGAATCAATCTGTTGTCTCCATAAGTAGCCAACAACACGGAGGCAATGTGCTAAAACTGGCGCGATCAGCAGGAATAGTATTTAGGTGTCCACAGTGACAGCTCTGCTTTTAGCACTTTACCCCAAATAAATCGCTCTTTGATTGCCACTGATCCACAGGGAAGGGGTTTCAAAGTCCGCTTTCCGAGACAACGATTTGCTGTAATTATCCATCCCATTTCCTAATTCTCTGTCTCTCCCATTTATATAAACTTTGGTTTGTTATTTTACATAGAGATATTTCAATCCTTTTAAGAAGAAAAGCAGAAGCTGAAAGTTACCGTCTCCGACTGAAACTCCTTAATACTTCCAAATCTGTGCTGGCTTTCCTGCCTACCCCGCTGCACGCCAAGATGCCTCCTGCCATTTTGTAAGCTGCATCTCAGAGCTTCTGCTGCTTCGTACAATAAATAATTGGTTTCCAGCAATCTGGATTAACCAGTTCAGTTCCAGAAAGAACCTAGCAGCACGCTACAGAAATAATTGATTCACAATTTTTTTTAAACAGAGAAACAGGCGGAAATATATACAGATTGTAATGGGATGTCCTGAAAGATCTGTAAAGTGTCTAATAATGGCGTCGCATTTTAATCAGAAAGAAGAGATCATACAAATGGTGGCGCAATTGGCTTTCAGCTGAAGACGTGCTTGGCCAAAGCACTCCATAGATTGACTGTTTTATCTGATTGATAGATGTCCATGTTTTGCACATACCAGAAAATCTCCCCCCAACCCTCCGTGTCTTGGGCTGTCAGAATGGCACGGGCTTTGCGTACAGCAATCAATGTGACTACGGATATCAGCCAACGCGCCAGAGAGGAAAATCAGACAGCTTCTTCGCTTTCTTAAAAAATAAAAACAAGTTTCCAGCTGAGAATTCGGCTTCAAACGAAAACTACTGTCTAAATAAATGGGGGGAGGGGAGAGACAAATAATTTTACGATTCACAGGGAGGTTTAAAAATAAGTTAAAAAACAGGCGCGTTCCACCATTTACCACCAGGCTCGTTAATTATTACTTAACATGTCTAAACCTCCGCTTAGTGCTAATGCTGGCTCCAAGGATTATGGGTATTTACACCAAATATTACGCTCGGGGCATCAGAGATATTTCTGCTCAGATAACTTGTGGTTAATTTAGTTGGATTCAAACGGAAGGTTTTTACAAGTTACAACGCTAAGATTAAAATTCAATCTAAAATACATTCTTGGTTGTTCGAGAATCTTCCATTTTGTCCTTGCATCGTTGCCTCACAAATTAGGAAATCGGGCACCAAGCAGCCCTGATGCGGAACTAATTTCAAGATGGCCACAGGAAGTATCATGGATTTTGATTAAAAGTTGGAGAGGATATGAGACACTTGGTCTGCAAGAGAGAAAATTCTTTAATATCTAGTTAAAATATGAAGGGATATCTCTGTAACCATCACAATCAACGAGAGCTTAGTTTATTGTGCATGAGCACATTTTATAGGTTAATACAACGTGGGCAGGCCAGACACACTAAGTTCTGACGTCATTACCCCACCTACCCCACTATCATACACAGACGTAACCTTGTGCTGAGATTATTCCAGGGTTGGGGGAGATGAGCACATGTTCCCCTCACGGTGAAGGACCTGTGATGCAGTAGTAACTCCAGGCTGGAGAGGGTGACACCTAGTGGAGCAGGCAGGGTACAGCTTTAAGAGAAGTTGGCCGCCAGATTCAGACTGATCTCGGTGCCTAAATTAAAGGGACTCTCCAATCACCTAAAGCTCTATTTTTTTCAGTTTCCAAAAAGGGCAGATTCAGTAGAAATTGGCACTTTTATAAAAGAACCTTGTTACACCCACCGTCAGTCAATCAATCAGACAACCGGTCCTGTTACTTCCTGGTTTGGTTAGCTCAGTGAAGCTAAACTCAAGAGGCAGCAATTGCCCAGAGCACCTGTCTTGCAAAGACTTCTCATTGAGCTGTATTGGGAAGTTTGTGATTGGACAGCCACAGAAAGTCTGGGCGGGGTTGAAGGGGAAGGCTTGCTAAGGCTGCAGACAAGAGATCTGCATCTTTTGCAAGCTGTTTTTATATATACCTGCAAAATTAAATGATGCATGTTTTCATTTTGGCATATCTATATATCTTCCCAGATCCACAGGGGATCATCTTAAAGGAAACCCATCAAATACAGCTGGGACTATAACTGGGAAACAAAACAGATAATATCATATAATGGAAGAGGACAAGTGGTGAGCAAGGACAATATTCAGTGTATTTACCCACAAATGAAAACATAAAATAAAGAGGGAATCGGTAAATACAAAACAGTTTGCTGAAATTTTATGTATGAACAGGGGATTTCTTGACTGGAGTAAGAACTACCTGCTCTGCGGCAACAGTTCCTTGCATCCACTACTTCTGTAAAATATGCACAGACAAAGTTCCATTTACTGCCCTCAGATGGAAGGCCATTGTTGTCAGATGTCCCCTTTCTATAAATGTAAAGCGTTGCAGGACATGTCACTATATAAAAGATAATTATAATAGGCCCAGTATGTGATGAGGTTCCTGGGAGTGAATGGGTTAAGCAGACCCCGTAGCTGGTCTCAGGAGACGCCAGTTTGGTGAAATCGCAGCTCAAACAGTGTTATTTAATCTGTTTTAACAGCTCGCTGGTTGTGAACATGCAAGACCTCATTAACGCCGGGGGGTGTCTTAATCTGCGCTGTCAGCACCGGATTATCCCCTAAATGAAGCCCATTTTTATGTAAAATCCTTTATATCTTATTAATGTGAGTTAATCATTGTCAGACAGACTGGAAGACAGAAGACATCTTTAGCCTTTCTAAATTAATCGACATCCAGAAGGGACTCTGTCACTGGTTCCCTAACGGGCGATATTTAGTCACCATCACTTGCGCAGATCAATTTCTCCCCCCGCATGACATGTTACAGCAGTGTTTGAAGGGTTAATATGAAAAGCCCATTCAGGACACAGACAAACATGGCATTCCTAGAGGCTGTGTCAGGAAAGACCAACTTATACAGAGTTTATCATTATCCATTTAGCATCAACAATGTCTGCAGCGCAGTACAAAGTGGATTAACAAACAAGTAGTCGCAACAAGACAAGATGGACGCACAGGAGCAAAATGTGCTGTGGTCCCCGCTCCTTCCATTCTAAATTTACAGCTATATTAGTATCATTATACTGTTATTACTCGTATTTATTTTAAATGTATTACAAACAAACATTGATTCCTACAGGTAGTAAAAGAGAACAAAATCAATTCTGTATATTGTATAAATACAGCATGTTGCATAATTACACCTAATTGTATTTTTATTGCTAATAATATTAATTACAGCTCATTGTTTTATTACAGCTCATTGTATTATTACAGCATACTGTAGTATTACAACTTATTTATTACAGCTTATTGTATATTTACAGCTCATTGTATTATTACAGCTTACTGTAGTATTAAAAACGTATTTATTTTTGCAGCTCAGTGTATTATTACAGTTTATTATATACTTACAGCTCATTGTATTATTACAGCTTATTGTATTATTACAGTTTAATGTATCATTACAGCTTTTTGTATTATTATAGCGTATTGTATTATTACAGTTTATTGTATCATTACAGCTCAGTGTATTATTACAGTTTATTGTATTATTTACAGCTTATTGTATCATTACAGCTTTTGCATTATTACAGCTTATTGTATTATTACAGTTTATTGTATCATTACAGTTCATCATTTTATTACAGCTTTTTGTATTATTATAGCTTATTGTATTATTACAGCTTATTGTATCATTACAGCTCAGTGTATTATTACAGTTTATCATATTATTACAGCTTATTGTGTCATTACAGCTTTTTGTATTATTACAGCTTATTGTATTATTACAGTTTATTGTATCATTACAGCTTATTGTTTTATTACAGTTTATTTTATCATTACAGCTTATTGTATTATTACAGCTTAATATAATGTTACAGCTGATTGTATTACTACAGCTCATATTATGGCAGTGTGCCTTTTATTCCATGACTTCTTCCAAAGATGATCGATATATAAATATATATATATATATATTATATCTCCATTAATGCTGCTCTGTAATTTAACAGACTGTAATATGAGTGACTGGTCTCAAGAACTTGCAATCTATTTATATCATTGTTTTATAGCTTCTAGTAAGGAATACCTGGTTTACACAAATATTTTATAGGTAAATTTGTTTTTAGTGCCATTTAGGAAGGAAAGTAAATGCGAAGATAAATTTAATTTCAGGCAGTATAACCCTATACCAGCTCTTGGATTCCGTTACACAGCAACAAACAAATATTAGTCAATAAAGCTTTGTGCCTCTGGGTATGGCTCACTGCATGTTCATTCGCAAACTAAAACTGGCATATCAGAGTCTGATAGGAATGATTAAAAGAACAGTTTAATATTTCATCAAACAAACGTAATCTATATTACTGTTATTAACCCATCATTGCCCTCTCTATATCTATATTACTGTTATTAACCCATCATTGCCCTCACTGTATCTATATTACTGTTATTAACCCACCATTGCCCTCACTGTATCTATATTACTGCTATTAACCCATCATTGCCCTCACTGTATCTATATTACTGCTATTAACCAATCATTGTCCTCACTGTAACTATATTACTGTTATTAACCCGTCATTGCCCTCACGGTATCTATATTACTGTTATTAACCCTCATTGTCCTTACTGTAACTATATTACTGTTATTAACCCGTCATTGCCCTCACGGTATATATATTACTGTTATTAACCCATCATTCCCCTCACGGTATCTGTATTACTGTTATTAACCCATCATTGTCCTCACTGTATCTATATTAGTGTTATTAACCCATCATTGCCCTCTCTGTTTCTATATTACTCTTATTAACCTCTTCTTGCCCTCTCTGTATCTATATTACTGTTATTAACCCATCATTGCCTTTACTGTATCTATATTACTGTTATAAGTCCATCATTGCCCTCTCGCTATCTAAATTACTGTTATTAACCCATCATTGCCCTCACGGTATCTGTATTATTGTTATTAACCCATCGTTGCCGTCACTGTATCTATATTACTGTTATTAACCAGTCATTGCCCTCACTATATTACTGTTATTAACTCATCATTGCCCTCACTGTATCTATATTACTGTTATTAGCCCATCGTTGCACTCACTGTATCTATATTACCGTTATTAACCCATCATTGCCGTCACTGTATTTATATTACCGTTAGTAACCCATCATTGCCCTTTCTGTAACTATATTACTGTTATTAACCCATCATTGCATCTATATTATCATTATTAACCCATTACTGCCCTTTCTGTATCTATATAACTGTTATTAACCCATCATTGCCCTCACTGTTTCTATATTACTGTTATTAACCCATCATTGCCCTCACTGTATCTATATTACTGTATACCCATCATTGCCCTCATTGTTTCTATATTACTGTTATTAACCAGTCATTGCCCTCACTGTATCTATTTTACTGTTATTAACCCATTGTTGCACTCACTGTATCTATATTACCCTTATTAACCCATTATTGCCCTTTCTGTATCTATATTACAGTTATTAACCCATCCTTGTCCTCATTGTATCTATATTACTGTATACCCATCATTGCCCTCATTGTTTCTATATTACTGTTATTAACCAGTCATTGCCCTCACTGTATCTATTTTACTGTTATCAACCCATTGTTTCACTCACTGTATCTATATTACCGTTATTAACCCATCATTGCCCTCTCTGTAACTATATTATTGTTATTAACCCATCATTGCCCTCACGGTATCTATATTACCATTATTAACCCATTATTGCCCTTTCTGTAACTATATTACTGTTATTAACCCATATTTGTCCTCATTGTATCTATATTACTGTATACCCATCATTGCCCTCACTGTTTCTATATTACTGTTATTAACCCATCATTGCCCTCACGGTATCTATATTACTGTTATTAACCCATTATTGCCCTTCCTGTATCTATATTACTGTTATTAACCCATCATTGCCTTCTCTGTATCTATATTACAGTTATTCATCCATCGTTGCCCTCACTATCTATATTACCGTTATTAACCAGTCATTGTCCTCTCTGTTTCTATATTACCGTTATTAACTCATCCTTGCCCTCTCAGTATTTATATTACTGTTATTAGCCCATCATTGCCCTCTCTATAACTATATTACTGTTATTAACCCATTATTGCCCTCTCTGTATCTATATTAATGTTATTAAGCCATCATTTCCCTCACGGTATCTATATTACTGTTATTAGCCTATCATTGCCCTCTCTGTATCTATATTACCGTTATTAACCCATCATTGTCGTCACTACATCTATATTATTTTTATTAACCCATCATTGTCCTCTCTGTATCTATATTACTGTTATTAACCCACCATTTTCCTCTCTGTATCTATATTACTGTTCTTAACCCATCATTGCCCTCTCTGTATCTATATTACTGGTTTTAACCCATCATTGCCCCCACTGTATCTATATTATGGTTATTAACACAATGTTGCCCTCTCTGTATCTATATTACTGTTATTAACCCAACATTGCGCTCAATGTATCTATATTACTGATATTAACCCACCATTGCCCTCTCTCTATCTATATTACTGTTATTAACCCATAATTGTCCTCACTGTATCTATATTACTGTTATTAACCCATCATTGCCTTAACTGTATCTATATTACTGTTATTAGCCCATCATTGTCCTCCCGGTATCTAAATTACTGTTATTAACCCATCATTGCCCTCACGGTATCTGTATTATTGTTATTAACCTATCGTTGCCGTCACTGTATCTATATTACTGTTATTAACCAGTCATTGCCCTCACTGTATTTATATTACTGTTATTAACTCATCATTGCCCTCACTGTATCTACATTACCGTTATTAACCCATCATTGCCCTCTCTGTAACTATATTACTGTTATTAAACCATCATTGCCCTCATTGTATCTATATTACCATTATTAACCGATTATTGCCCTTTCTGTATCTATATTACTGTTACTAACCCATCATTGTCCTCATTGTATCTATATTACTGTTATTAACCCATCATTGCCCTCTCTGTATCTATATTATTGGTATTAAGCCATCATTTCCCTCTCGGTATCTATATTACTGTTATTAGCCTATCATTGCCCTCTCTATATGTATATTGCTGATATTAACCAGTCATTGCCCTCTCTGTAGCTAAATTACTTTTATTAACCCATCATTGCCCTCTCTGTATCTATATTACCGTTATTAACCCATCATTGTCGTCACTACATCTATATTATTTTTATTAACCCATCATTGTCCTCTCTGTATCTATATTACTGTTATTAACTCACCATTTTCCTCTCTGTATCTATATTACTGTTATTAACCCATTGTTGCCCCCACTGTATCCATATTACTTTTATTAACTCATTGTTGCCCTCTCTGTATCTATATTACTGTTATTAACCCACCATTTTCCCCTCTGTATCTATATTACTGTTATTAACCCATCATTGCCCCCACTGTATCTATATTACTGTTATTAACCCATCATTGCCCTCTCTGTATCTATATTACTGTTATTAACCCATCACTGTCCTCAATGTATCCATATTACTGTTATTAACCCATCATTGCCCCCACTGTATCTATATTACTGTTATTAACCCATCACTGTCCTCAATGTATCCATATTACTGTTATTAACCCATCATTGCCCCCACTGTATCTATATTACCATTATTAACCCATCATTGTCGTCACTTCATCTATATTATTTTTATTAACCCATCATTGTCCTCTCAGTATTTATATTACTGTTATTAACCCACCATTTTCCTCTCTTTATCTATATTACCGTTATTAACCTATCATTGTCGTCACTACATCTATATTATTTTTATTAAGCCATCATTGTCCTTTCTGTATCTATATTACTGTTATTAACCCACCATTTTCCTCTCTGTATCTATATTACTGTTATTAACCCACCATTTTCCTCTCTGTATCTATATTACTGTTATTAACTCACCATTTTCCTCTCTGTATCTATATTACTGTTATTAACCCATTGTTGCCCCCACTGTATCCATATTACTTTTATTAACTCATTGTTGCCCTCTCTGTATCTATATTACTGTTATTAACCCACCATTTTCCTCTCTGTATCTATATTACTGTTATTAACTCATTGTTGCCCTCTCTGTATCTATATTACTGTTATTAACCCACCATTTTCCCCTCTGTATCTATATTACTGTTATCAACCCATCATTGCCCTCTCTGTATCTATATTACTGTTATTAACCCATCACTGTCCTCAATGTATCTATATTACTGTTATTAACCCATCATTGCCCTCTCTGTATCTATATTACCGTTATTAACCCATCATTGTCGTCACTTCATCTATATTATTTTTATTAACCCATCATTGTCCTCTCAGTATCTATATTACTGTTATCAACCCACCATTTTCCTCTCTGTATCTATATTACTGTTATTAACCCATCATTGTCCTCATGGTATCTATATTACCGTTATTAACCCATTATTGCCCTCACTGTATCTATATTACCGTTATTAACCCATCATTGTCGTCACTTCATCTATATTTTTTTTATTAACCCACCATTGTGCTCTCTGTATCTATATTACTGTTATTAATCCACCATTTTCCTCTCTGTATCTATATTACTGTTATTAACCCATTATTGCCCTTTCTGTATCTATATTACTGTTATTAACCCATCATAGCCCTCATTGTATCTATATTACTGGTTTTAACCCATCATTGCCCCCACTGTATCTATATTACAGTTATTAACCTAATGTTGCCCTCTCTGTATCTATATTACTGTTATTAAACCAACATTGCGCTCAATGTATCTATATTACTGTTATTCACCCATTATTGCCCTTTCTGTATATATAATACTGTTATGAGCCCATTGTTGCCCTCTCTGTATCTATATTACGGTTATTAACCCAGTGTTGCCCTCTCTGTATCTATATTACTGATATTAACCCACCATTGCCCTCTCTGTATCTGTATTACTATTATTAACCCACCATTGCCCTCTCTGTATATATAATACTGTTATGAACCCATTGTTGCCCTCTCTGTATCTACATTACCGTTATTACCCCTATAATTGTATAGATATTATCAGTATTATTGCCCCCTTGCCTAGTTCTGTATATACAAACTGTCTTTCAAGTTGTTCTGCCACTTCCCATGATATTCATTTTGTCTTTACTTATCATTTACCTGTCAGGGTATACACAAATTAAATCTCATGTCCTATGTCATCGATACATAGACGTAAAGTGAAATAAATAAATAAATACATGGTCCCCCACTTGTCAATTAATTCGATAACCAGCGAGAGCATGGGAAATGGCCACCTGTCTTCCATGGCAACTACAGATTACACATTGTGGTTGCTGAGATTATACCTCTGGCAACCAAGTCTCATGCACTACCAGAGAAATAAATGAATGGCCCAACGAATGTCTGTTCACAGGTTGATGTGCAGCGATAAAGTGCAGCGATAAAGTGATGGAGTCGCAGGGGAGGAATGGCCAGGCAAGGGACGTGTTTCCAAACAGAGCCAGTCAGATAGGAGACAGGAGGGAACCCAGGATGAGTGTTACAGTAGTTATGGTGACAATGCTGGAGACAGAATATTTATATTTTATATTTATTCAAGACTTCCCAGGACTTTTAATATTATGTTTTCTTATCTCTGTATTTGAAAAAATATGTATTTGTGAGGCGTGAAAAATTAAATAAAATGTGGAAATCCACAGCATGTTATCCTGCACCTGGGCGCATCTGATCTTCCTGTCAATCATTGTTATAAGCTCCGTCTTTTGCACCTAGAAGTTGGCACACAGAGAGCATGCAGAGAGGAGGAGAAATGAAACACTGTTTCTATTGCAATGTTTGCAATGTTTGCAATGTTTGCCCTGGCTTTGCTGTGTCTTGTCTGAACTGGATAACAATGTAATTTGGTGAATGTTTAATAACAATTCCATAGAGATCAGAGCATCCATTTAAATTCCCAAAAGTGACAGTCCCCATGTATATTTCCCAAAACAAACATAAAAAACAAAAACGAAGGGAAGGAGGAGCGGGCGAGGGATAAATTGGCAAAAACAGAGCGATCAAAGCACCTGTGTATTTTGTCCTAGTCACTCACAATATAGATTTTGATAGAGAGCGCAATTTATGTATTAATCAGATCAGCAGCTCACCGGAACAAATCTCATCTCCTCGCTTCCACCTTAAGCCGAGAAGTAAAATAAGAGAAAATATATAGCGTAACGCCACGCGAGGCGCAGGTAATCCACGAATAAGTGGATAAACTGGTGAAATGGGTTGCCAACAATGTCCTAATGGGTTTCAGTAAATCAGAAATATCCTGCTATTTCTCCAAATCCCATCACACTTTAAAATAATACAGTAAGTCAAGGGAAAATGCTTATATATGGTGTTTACAGAGAGAACTCTTTATCTGTTGTGATTGTGTATTAAACAAGCCTCTCGGTTCACTTCTTGCTCCTCAAATCGACCTGCTGTTCTTGCCCTGGGCCAACCCTGCAACTCCTGACAAAACAATTAGTCAACGACCGCCCGGAACCGACACAATGAATCAAGTTATGTAGGGGTGGCAGGAGTAACTCTCCTCCCGCAAAGCAATCCAGGTAGAAGAACACATCTGCCCGGCGCCTAGAGCGAGCGCAGTAAGATGGAAAAGAGGACACAGAGACAAGCTCGCCATATGAAACCTTCAAACGTTTTCCAAAATACCTGCAATAAAGAAGGACAAACAGTCCCCTCTGGGGTCCAACCCCTGTCTGATAATTCAACTGAAGAAGCCAGATTTCCAGAGGATATTTCCAATGCCCTACTCACCAGTGTGTTAAATTCCTCAAAGTTAATATACATTAACATCCAGGTTTTCTAGGGGTCAATTTGCTAAATAGTGAGCTGCAGTGAGGAGGTAACAAAGTCACAAACATTGTAGCTCAATGCCATGTTTTTCCATATATAAGCCACTAAAGGCGCTTCTGCGACGCTGGATGCGAAAATCGCATCCAGCATGCAGAACGTCCATAGGAAAGCATTGAAAGCATTCCGCTCCACTCGGGAGGGGGGTGGGGGTCACCATCGTCGAGGGAGCCCGGCGCTGGATTAAGGTAAGTAACTGAATGGGTTTTAACCCCTTCAGCGCCAAGGGAGGGGGACCCTAAGGATACTAGGGTCAGGAAAATAAGTTTGTTTTCCTGACACTATAGTGATCCTTTAATATATATATATAATTATTTTTTAAATCATATATTTCCCTTTCTCTCTTCTTACCTTGCCAGGGGGGTTTGGCAAAGCCAGATCAGTGGTTGTTCAGAGGGCGGCATATCCACAGGTACAGGGCATTTTACAAGATAAAAGGTATCTTTATGGAGCTCCAGAACTTACACATACTGACCCATACATAGACACACAGACTGATCCAAACACACAGACTGACCCATACATACACACACAGACTGACCCATACATACACACTGAGAGACTGACCCAAACACACAGACTGACCCATACATACACACACAGACTGACCCAAACACACAGACTGACCCATATATACACACACAGACTGACCCAAACACACAGACTGACCCATACATACACACACAGATTCATCTAAACATAGACGCACAGACTGACCCATACATACACACACAGACAGACCCATACATACACACACAGACTCACCTAAACATAGACAAACAGACTGATCTAAACATAGACACACAGACTAACCCATACATACACACACACATACTGACCCCTCACACACAGACTGACCCATACACACAAACTGACCCAAACATACACACACAGACTAACCCATACATACACACACAGACTGACCCATACATACATACAAAGACTGACCCATACATACTGTGGCGGAAGCTGCCTCGCCACTGCACATTGGAGAGGCCTGGCTGTCCGCCTCCTACCTGCTGACTATGGCCCCTGGTAAATTGTACTTTTGAATGCAATATTTGGGCATGTGGTATTTTATATTGCTGCTACTGGCCCTTTAAGGTCCATCCGTGGGCATATTGTGACTTTTAGGAACAATGCCTTTAAGACCGTGTAGCAGATTGCATTCAGGCTGTATTTAATATTATGTATGTTCCTGTGTGCCTGGCTAAATTGCTATGTGTATGCAGCATTCCCCTGATTGTTCGGTAGAATCACTCCATTCATTATATTGAGTGAAACTACCGAACAACCAGACCACCCAGGAATAAGTGTGCCTCCAATTACTCGTTTGCAACAATGTTGCAAACGGGTAATTGGCAATCTGTGTAATGTGTTCTTTGTCCTCTGGGTGGCCGCCATTCGGGAAACGAACACGTGGCGGCAGCCATCTTAAACTCCTGAACAGCGGTGTTTTGCCGTCGAGTGTCTGGAACTAAAATCGGACACTCGACTAGGCAAACACCGCTGAGACTTCCAGACTTCCAGCAATTAGTGCAGAAACTACCGAATGACCCGCCGTTCGGTAGAGAGGATCCCACAAACAAGGGGATTCATACGAATCCTCCCAAAGCTCCATAACCGAGTTAATTTGTGTGTTTCATTCCCTTTTCTCTGACCGACCGCAGGGCCAAAATACATGGAACTATTTTCGGATACTTTACCCATGCGGTCGGTCAAATCTTTACCTGCCCTTAACTCCCGAACCCCTGGTCGGATCTGGGTGATTTTTGGATATGTTCCTCACCCAGATCAGGGCTATCAGGGGGTACCATATTTAAAGGTGTACCCCCCATATTTGGGGTACATCCAAGAATTGGGGAAAAGTGTGTACTGTATAATTATGTTAAGTGTTAATCTAAGGGGAGGAGATGTGTGGGAGGTAGCAGGTATGGGATTGGCGGTTGTACTAATTATTGTAAATCCCTCCCTTGCATGGGAGAATGTTTTAAAAGGAGGTTGTGTGAATAAATCTTGAGTTCCTGCTTAACCCTCAAAGTGAAGTGTCGTCTCATTATTGGGGGGGATTTATTGTATGCTGTTCTAGTTTGACTGCTAGGAGTCTAAACCCATCCGTATGGTTTTTGCCTATTCAGCTGTTTAGAGCATTCATATGCTTGAGAGAAGGTATACGATTCTCCGGTGCTTGGTGTCCTCAGGAAACGCTAGGAGCATCCTTTAACGGAGGTACCCAGTCGGGGTGCCAGGTGACTCCCCACACACAGACTGACCCATACACACACAGAGACACACAGACTGACCCATACATACACACAGACTCACCTAAGCATAGACACACAGACTGACTCCCCACACACAGACTGACCCATACACACACAGAGACACACAGACTGACCCATACACACTAACTAGCAACCGCGATGACGTCATAAGCTAGCCTCCCGAGCTACGGAGGCTCAACAGACTCATAATAAAGAGAAAGGCGTTTTAATCAACGCTGTACTGGGGATATTATTCCACTCTCAGGATTCTCCTTATATCTAGAAGCATAGCTGGCTAGTCCCTCTTACTTTATGCAGATAGGTGCCCACGAAGGCACAGAGTAGGACTTACTTTGCCACTATTCCTTTCTATTAGGACTATCCTTGTTTTCAATAGTACAGCTAGTTAGTCCTCTATACTTTACACAGATAGGTGCCCTTGAAGGCACAGATGAGAACCTTTTTTGCTACTA